GGACGTGGACCCAAAGGACTCTTTATCATGAAGGGACCCATCCTGAAAACCTTAATAAATCATTTGCTATTGAAAACCTACCTGTTGGCGGGACAGGGAAGAGTCTGTCCTCACTGGGTCATCGCCAGCGAAGGTCCTTTCTTGCAGTCAATATGGCTGGCACCTTTTACTCTTATGGTTGGGCCTTCTGTCCTAACATCCAAATACGCAACACCTCCCTGCTTCTCATAAGGAAGAGAAGTGGGTGTTCTTGACCTCAGAGCCCAAAGTACTGATCACCTGGAGTGGGTTTCTCTAGATGTCCTCCAGCCATGTGTGTGCCAAGACCCCTGGAGAGATGGCAAAAATGCAGATTCCCGGCCCGAGCCCAGGTCTGAGTGGAAGTCTTTGGGGTAGGGTCCTGAAATCTAGATTGTAACAATCTCCAGAGGAGGTTCTTATAAACATTAAACTTAGGAAACAACTGCCCTGAAGCTGTGCGACTTCAGCGGTCCCTGTTTATTTCCTTCGTTCTTTTTTAAGTGTGAGAGCTGGCTGCATCCTTACTTTCCTGCATCCTGGCCTCTGCTGCACCGTTAGTGCTGTCCATACCTCTGCACCCTTTGCTGGGAGGGAGCCTCGGGGAGTGCGTGCACACCCAAGTCAGCTGGGGATTTTCCTCAGAGCTTTCCAAAAGCATGACTCCCACATCTGGATTACGGCTGCCCTGGAATAAAGGCCCCTTGGTGCAATCGAGCTCAGTGTCGAGGGTGGAGTCTGGGACTCCCTGCAGCTGCTGAGAAGACCAGGGAGATAGCCTCAAACAAAGCCAAGGGGCCATGGAGAGATTTTGGATTTTGCAGCCATCTAGAGGAATGGGCAGGGCACAGGACCTTTCAGCCCATGAGGGCAGATGTACAGGCTGGCTGGGCTTGGGGTCTGGAGCTCTCCACCTGGGGCCGCCTGGAGCTCTCCACCTGGGGCTGCCTGCCGCTTGTGTTTCTGCTTCAGTTTAATCCCACTCCATTGTCACTCATGCCAGTACCCCCAGCCCTCAACCATGCAGACCCCTCCCTCTAGCCCATGCCCGCATTGCTCTGGGTGTCCAGCTTCCTCTCATCGAGATGGATTTCCCCGAGCTGACCACTCCCTTGACAGCTGCTGGGACTTTAAGGAGATGGCTCTGGAGGCCCCGCAGATGAACCATAAAGCCACTACCCCCAGCCTCCTTTAAAGTCCTCTCTCCTATCCTCCTCTACCTTATTTCACTCCTGTCCTCTCTGCCCCCATCTCTCTTTTGCCCTTCCTGCCTTGATGGATTGAAACCAACGTTGTGTTCCGGCTTCTTGTGGTCCCGGTAAAAAGCTCTAAAGTGGTCGTGGTGGATGGGGAGAAGGTAGTGACGAGAGTGTGTGTGCCGGAGTGGGGGCTGGGGGACTCTTGTCTTGTCTCCGATGGCAGGAGGAGGGGCATGTGTTCCACAGATTCTGCCCCTGTGCTGCAGTTTCAGCAGAACCCCCCCATACCCCCTCCCACTGTGGGGGCTAGACAGCCTGGGATCAGCCTGGGTGTCCTTAGAACCTCCCTTGGATAGGAAGAGGAGTTCAGCTCAGCAAAGGTGCTGAGTGGCCTGAAGGGTTCAGTCTGGGGCCAAGAGACATTTCCATTTGTAGTTAGCAAACAGGAGTTAATTAAACAACTTACACTTGTTGGATTTTCTTACTATGCCTTAGTGGCTGGGCTGTGATTGTCCCTGATGTTGTTGTGGCAAACAGGAAGCCCACTTGGGGATAGATAACACGACAGAATAAGTTTAATATCGACATTTTCACAATCAATGGAGAGCGGGGCTTGGCCACAAGGGCAAGGAAGGGCTGAGATATCAGGTAGTCAATTCTCCTTCCTGCCTGGGGATGTCTTCATAGCTCTTGAGCTGAAAGCGCTTCTTTTGTGAATCGTGACTGAGATGCTGCAAGGGTCTGTGCTTTCTGATTTGAATCTGTACCCAGTGGCTCTCACTATGTGACATGTCTAAGTGGGGAAGCCACTGGGCATGCCAGCCTTTGCTTTGCAGCTCCCCGCTTCTCAGACCATATGAGCCTAAACTTGGGGGATGAGGAGGTGCAAAGGATGGAGGGGACCACCGGCCCAGGAGGGAAATTCTGGCACCTCACAGTGTAGGTGGCAGAGGGGGTGCCCTGGCCCAGGAGGGGGCCTGCAGTTGTAGGCACAGTGAGAAGGAAAGCCAGCTCTTCAGATTTCAGCCAGCTGGTCCAAGGGGCCCCATCCTCACGAGAACAACCCCAGAGATCTGAGTGCAGCTGAGGCTCCTGTGTTCAGTGTTTTGCCCCTCTAGAAACAGCCAGCTGCGGACTTCTTTTTTATGTAGTAAGGAGCTCAGTTCTTTGGAGGGAGCGGGCATGAAGGTCAGCCTCCGTTATCCTTTAGTGAGAGGACTCCTTGACAATGATAACGGGGGGTCGGAAGAGGCAGCTGTGCCTGGTCCTGATCTCAGCAGCCTTTAGGGCCAGGTTGGTGGAGATTCAGAATGTATTTTAGCCAAAACCCCCTTTTGGTTCAGACCAGCTCCCACCCCTGGGCCCTGGGCCACGGGCCACTGCAATACTCTAGCCTTGTGTTGTTTGGGGCTGGTGTTGGCTGAGGTCCTGAAGCCTTGGGGATAGCTGGGGGGCAGAGAGGTAGATCTGGAGCGGTAAGTGAGGAGGGCATCCAGCTCCCAGGGTGTGTGTGTGTGTGTGTGTGTGTGTGTGCAAGTGCCTGGTGGGGCATCTCTGTCCTAGCTCTCGGTGCTGTAACATGGCTGGCCCGTGTGGCCTATGATCTGTGTGTGTGTGTATGTTGATCTGGATGTTCCTGTTTTGTGGTCGTCTGATCACTTGTTTTTGGCCATGGGCTTCTGTCAAAGTGTTTATTTTTAGAGGCTGCCACTTCTGGCCTAAGGGCTGATCCTTGGGCATGGTAGGAACATTTGCATTTTCTGAAATATTTGTGGCTTAAAGTATTTATTTGGGGTTATTCCTGCCTGTTATTTGTTTATTCTACTTTGTGTGTATGGTGTGTATGTGTGTGTGTGCGCGCGCGTGTGTGTGTGTTTGTGATAGGAGAGAGGTGTAGCATAATAAAAATTGCATAGTCTTTGAAGGAAATTAGTTCTGATTTTAAATCTTGGCTTTATCCTTTATCAGATGGCATTGTTTGCAATGGTTTTGCCTCTCAAGAGACTCAGTTTCTCCCTGGCTGTGATCGGTGTAATTCTGTCTGTCTGGGAGATGATGGCCACAGAGGATGCGAGTGTAGAGTGCCCAGCGAAGTGCTGGTGTTCGGGCTGTGCTCACTGCCTGGTGGCTGGTATTGATGTCTGTGTGTACATGGCCATGCCAGTGCTTTCCGACTGTGGTTCTTTCATTGTGTGGTACCTAGTGCGTGTGCAAGCCTGGGTGTTTCTGATTTGGGTGATCTCTGATTGTCTTTGTGTCTGGGTCGGTGTGTGACTGCTGGTGTCTGGCTGGAGCTGGTGCAGTCTTTGGGAGGGGGCTTTTTCCTTGCTGACGGAGAGCCTGGATTAGAGTAAGGGGAGGGGAAGTGCTTGTGTGTGTGCACGAGCGTGTGTGCGTCTGTCGCGGCCGGCGGCTTGGCCGCTGACTGTACAGGGTGTGAAATCAGAGTTCCTCTGGGTGGGGAAGTTCTTCATTCCTGAGTCAGCCCTTTGGCCCCGAGCCACCCAGTGCTCACTTTTTCCTTCCAGAGAAAGTGTTGCTTGGGGGGTCCTCAGAGCTGTCTGCAGACAGGAGGAACTTCTCCCCACTGAAGACATCTTGTTTTTGTGTTCACAATCCCTAAGATGCTTCCCCTCCTACTCTAGTTCCCCAGACTCCCTTCATCATCACCCTATATGTCCCCATCCTTCAGCACAGGAAAAGCGTGTCCCCTCTGGCACTGGGACTGTTGGCTTGACTGAGCCCCACCTTAGCCCATACTTCAGGGGCCCCTGGGCTGGCTCAGAGCAGTGGGATCAGGACACTCATCTTTGCAGACCTGCTGCAATCCTGCCTGGTGTAACTTCCCTGGACCCGCGTCCCTTTCCTGGAGTCTTGGGTGGTATCGGCTGAGCTTGCTGGTGGAGGGTACAGGGTCCATGAGGGGTGGGCAGTGCTGGGGAGGAGCTGGGAGGAGCCTTGGGAATGCGGCAGTGAACAGCATGAATGACATTGTATCTCTGAATGGTTCTAGTGCATTCTTTGCATTGAGCTGGAGACAAACCTAGCTGAGGGTGGCAAGCTTGTCTTAGAGAGTCCCAGCTCTGCCTTCAGCCTCCCTGCCACCAACACCTTGGGCATGGTGGGTCCTTTGCTATACCCTACTGCCCTCCTGGGTTCTCCCCCTGCTTCCCTGGGCAAAGGCTATCCTCAGGGATGACTGGCTGTCCATGCTGATACCTCTATGGGCATTCAAGGCAACGGCTACTCTCCTGGCATTCTGCCTCTCACTCAGGGTGGAAACTGCAGAAATTGAAGCAGGGGTGAGACTTTCTGAGATGGGGTGGTGGAGGGGACGGAGGATGCTTTGGAAATGGTCATTCAGGAATTAATGATACTCATAATGGCGATGGTTAGGGTTACCAGCTGTTGACCTCCCACCACATGCCAGGAACTGGTCTCAGCACATCATGTATCAACTCATTTAAACTCGAAGCACTGTGTGTTTAATGAATGTTGGCAATTTCAGATGGTTCAACCAGATTCTGTGATTATCCCCATTTTATGGACCAGAAAACTGGCTCAGAAGCTGGTGAAGTGTCAGAGCTAGGCTTGGGACTGGAGCAATTTGCCCCCAGCACTCCCTGCTCAGGTGTTGGGTTCCATTGCCCGGCCCTGTGTTGGTGAGGATGCAGGGAATGAGGGGCTAACTCTTAGTCCCTTTCTCTGGGAGAGTGAACGTTACCCCTGCCTCCCACTGATGTCTACTGTCTGTTGTCTCCCCTCCGGCTCTGTCCCTTGCAGAGGTGGTGGGACACACGCAGGGGCCACTGGATGGGAGCCTGTATGCCAAGGTGAAGAAGAAGGACTCCCTGCACGGCAGCACTGGGGCTGTTAATGCCACACGTCCTACACTGTCGGCCACCCCCAACCACGTGGAGCACACACTTTCTGTGAGCAGTGACTCGGGCAACTCTACAGCCTCCACCAAGACAGACAAGACTGATGAACCTGTTCCCGGGGCCTGCAGTGCTTCTGCTGCCCTGAGTCCCCAGGAGAAGCGGGAGCTGGACCGCCTGCTGAGCGGCTTTGGCTTAGAGCGAGAGAAGCAAGGCGCCATGTACCACGCCCAGCACCTCAGGTCCCGCCCAGCGGCTGGCCTGGCTGTGCCCTCCTCTGGACGCCACGTTGTCCCAGCCCAGGTTCATGTCAATGGTGGGGCATTAGCATCTGAGCGGGAGACAGACATCCTGGATGATGAGTTGCCAAACCAGGATGGGCACAGTGCAGGCAGCATGGGCACGCTGTCTTCCCTGGATGGGGTCACCAACACCAGTGAGGGGGGCTACCCAGAGGCCCTGTCCCCACTGACCAATGGTCTGGACAAGCCCTACCCCATGGAGCCTATGGTCAATGGAGGAGGCTACCCCTATGAGTCTGCCAGCCAGGCCGGGCCTGCCCATGCTGGCCACACAGCCCCCATGCGGCCCTCCTACTCTGCCCAGGAGGGCTTAGCTGGCTACCAGCGGGAGGGGCCCCACCCAGCCTGGCCACAGCCAGTGACCACCTCCCACTATGGCCCTGACCCCAGCAGTATGTTCCGCTCTCAATCCTTTTCGGAAGCTGAACCCCAGCTGCCCCCAGCTCCAGCCCGAGGGGGAAGCAGCCGGGAGGCTGTGCAGAGGGGGCTAAATTCATGGCAGCAGCAGCAGCAGCAGCAGCAGCAGCCTCGCCCACCTCCACGCCAGCAGGAAAGAACCCACTTGGAGAGTCTTGTAACTAGCAGGTCCAGCCCTCAGCCACTGGCAGAGACCCCCATCCCCAGTCTCCCTGAGTTCCCGCGGGCAGCCTCCCAGCAGGAGATCGAACAGTCCATCGAAGCACTCAATATGCTGATGCTAGACCTGGAGCCAGCCTCGGCTGCTGCCCCTCTACATAAGTCCCAGAGTGTCCCTGGGGCCTGGCCAGGGGCTTCCCCACTCTCCTCCCAGCCCCTCTCCGGATCCTCCCGTCAGTCCCATCCACTGACTCAGTCCAGATCGGGCTATATTCCCAGTGGGCATTCCTTGGGAACCCCTGAGCTGGCCCCACGGGCCTCCCTAGAGTCTGTCCCTCCTGGCAGGTCTTACTCACCTTATGATTATCAGCCATGTTCGGCTGGGCCTAACCAGGATTTCCGTTCAAAGAGCCCCGCCTCTTCCTCCTTGCCTGCCTTCCTTCCAACCACCCACAGCCCTCCAGGGCCTCAGCAACCCCCAGCCTCTCTCCCTGGCCTCACCGCTCAGCCTCTGCTCTCACCAAAAGAAATGACTTCAGACCCCTCCCGGACTCCAGAGGAGGAGCCATTGAATTTGGAAGGGCTGGTGGCCCACAGGGTAGCAGGTAAGAGATACTCCATCCTGACTCCTTCTACCCCTTCCTTATTTGGTCTTGCCAGGGGGAGGTGCAGGCCCAGCCATGACCTCTAAGCAGGCATGGCTTTTACTGGTGGGAAGAGGCTCTCTGGAGCCTACATGCTTGTCCAGTTTTCCCTTCCTGCATTCATTGTCTGTTAGGCACCAAGCCAGACACCGAGTTTCAAAGTTCAATGTCGAGCAATTCCTGCCCTCAAGGAGTTTATAGTCTAGTAAGTGGTCAGGTACACAGACAGACGATTTCATAAGAAAGTAATGTGTGCTGTGACAGAGACAGGATCAAGATCCCAGAACCTGAGAAAGCATAGCTTACCACCTAGGGCAGTCAGGGAAAGCTTCTAGGAGGTGGTGACTTTGGGGCTGGAGTTACAGACTTTCTAGACAGAGAGGAGACTCGGCAATTGCCTGTCATGCTGTCTGTCCTCAGACTTCAGTTCCTTGGGGGACATATTGAGAAGGCTGGTGGGAGACCTTAGAACCCCCTGGCCTCCCGGAGGCCATGAAAGAGCCTGAGAGGGTATCCTCAAACCCTTGGGCTCTGTCTGCTGAGGCCTCTTGGGATATTGTCTTTGCAGGGTGGCCAAGGTCCCCCTTCTGAGTCAGTTTTCCTGTTAGTCCTTGCTGAGGACCAGCCCTGTGTGGGAAGCAGGCACTGAGAGACAAACCTCCTTTCCCTATCAGAGAGTGGGCTTCTCTTTTGGGAGAGAGGAAAGTGGGACACTCAGAAGAGCTTTTGGGGAGACAAAGGCAAGAAATGGCAGTGTGTCCGGGGCCGAGTTGGGAGGGACAGCTGTGAGGCTCCCTTCCTGCTGGTCTAAGCCTGCGCCAATTCCACAGAGGTGGCTGAACTGGGCAGGAAAGCTGGTTGGGTGACTTTATTATGGAAGTGGAGCCCAGGCAGGGGTGGACCAGAGACTGTGGGTTTGGGTGGGCCTTGTGCCAGCCCCTCAGCTGACAGAGTGGTAGGAGCTCAGCAAGGAGGAGAGGAGCCTGGGCAGCTGTCTCTGTCCTCCACCCATTTTCCTAAATTTAGGGGAAGCTGAGTCACCATGCCAGCTGCAGGGAGAGAAGGAGACACTCTCCCTGGAGATGGACTATGGGTTTGGGGAAGCAGCTTAGGGCAGGCCAGCTGGCTCAGGACCTGGGTGTGGGGTCACAGGCACCCTGCTCCTATACTTCACAGCAGAGCAGAGTCCCCAGCTCCACTATTGGTATAATAGCTTGAAATTGGCCAGTGCAGGAGTATTTACACCATGGAAATTGGCAGTCAGCCTCATCTCCCATAGAGAGCTGGTCTAGCAGTAAATATTGCTTATACCTGAACATCAGAACACAGGATGGGCAGCTCTTAATCCTAGGGATGAAATGCTCCAAGGGTGGTCCAGATGGGCTTTGACTTCTGCCTTCTCCATATCTGCGCCCCTGAGATAAAGATACCCGCCCCGCCCCCCCCTTCACCCACTGGCTTTGTCAAAAGAGACCCTTTTCCTCTTGATTTTATCGAGGGGAGAGGGATGGGGCTCCCTAAATTCCCTTGGAATTTAATTCCCCTCCCAATATTTTGCAAGGTTGGAGTGATGGCCTAAAGATTAGTGATATGCTAGTTTAATGAGGGGCAGGATCCAGGAGCCTTCTCTCTGGGGGATCAGAATGCATTTCTTCCCTACAAGAACCCATCCATGTAGCTCTCCTGGAGCTTGCTCACGAGGAGGCCATAACCCTAATGGCCCTGGCAGGATGCCCATCTTGTAGTGGACTTCACTTTAGCCCTTTCTCTCCTACCAGTTTTTGAGGGCTTGACCATCAGCTTCTATATTCTGTAGCCTCTCAGGCTTGGCTGCCATGAAATCTAGGGAGGGAAAGATACTGTTGTCACAATGTTCCCATTCCCTAACCCTGTCACCATCTTCTCCATCAACTACAAGGGACTCAGGAGAAGGGATGAAGTGTATACAGGGGACAGTTATGTTTGGTTCCCGGGGCTACGAAGTTGCCTCTTTGGAACTTATTTATGAATTTATGTCAGCAGGTCCTGCATGCATAACTTCCTTAATAGCCCTTCAGGGTATCTGCAGTGCCTGTGTAGACAAAGGCAGATAAACAAGATCCATGTGTAGAACAGTCTGGGAGCCAGAGAAGATGACTTCCAGCACTGCTTCTTTTTTCTCTTTCTACATCTCTGCTGTAAGAAGCTGGAACATATGCTTTGACATGAGCAAACTAGGAAACTCAGATCTATGGGAGAACCTCTTCATGGCCATGAACTTGATCTGATTTCTCCTGGCTTTTCTCCCTCAGCTCTGCCTTTTTCCCCTTGGCTGTCCTCCATACCTCAGTCCCATGTCCCTGGTTCATTCCACTTTGATCCAGTCACCCCTTGTGCCTTATTTCAGCTGAAGTTTTAAAGAATATAGGGGCAGTTTTCTAATTTGATAAAGGGTAGGGGCCAGAAACCTATAGCATACATCACACTTTCTCATGAAGCATTGGAAGCATTCCTGTTTCAGTTAGGGACAAAATAAGGATGTGTGTTATCACCACTAGCATCTATCATTGTATTAGATGTCCTAGCCAGTGCAATAGGACAAGAAAAAGAAATAAGAGTCAGAGTTGGAGAGTCCAACTGAGTTATCTTGTGTCCCTAATTCTGTGACTAGACTGATCTCAGATGTCTCTAGAGGTGGAGATTTCAATGCATGTTGGAAATCAGATATGGATCTTATCCTTAAGGAGTCTAAGGTTTAGTAGGGGGAAAAAAACTGGAACTTTAAAATAGTCTGTTGTAATAAGAGAGGTAAGGAGAAAGCTTTGTGGGATAGAGGTAAAGAGATCGGTATCAGATGGAGATTGGGGAGGTGGTGTTGAGTGTGGTTTTAAACTGAGCTTTGGAAGATGGATAAGATTTTGAAAGTGAATGGGATCACTGGGTAGACAGGGTTCACGGTGAAGGCAGGAGAGCACAGAAAATGTTTGGAGAACAGCAATTAGATTGAGAGCATATAGTTGTTCAAGGGAGAGTCAGGATAGGTAGCCTGGGGTCTGTCTCTGGATGCAAGGAGCTTGCATCTTACCTGGCAGCAATGTAAGAGGCCCTTCCTGTGGTTTATTGGGGGAACATGCCATGACCAGAGCTGAGCTTTAGGTTGATGTGTCTAGTGGGTCTGGGCAGGAAGGACATTCCATGGGAGACTTTGAGCCGGGAGATGTTTGGAGCTTATTAGATAGCCTGAGTGATGCAGGGCTGGATTAGGGTGCTAACCATAGGAATGCAGATGAAGAGAGGATGGCATGGATTCTGTGGGAGTAGAACCAATGCACTTATGCATTGATTGACTGGAGCAGGAGCAGGCGAGGGAGAGGGAACATCAAAGATAATTCTGAGGCTCTGTGAATAGAAATAGAATGACAGTTCTATTAACAAGTAGGAAGGCAGGAGGAGCACATTGGGTGGAAGATGAAGAAGTCATGTTAGACATGTTGAGTTTGAGGGGACAGTGGAGCCTCCAGGGAGAGACGTATGGAAGGCAGATGAACATTGGAATTGAGCTTGAAAGAATGGAAAGAGCTGCAGGTTTTGGAATCATTCTCACAAAGGTGATGGTATGTTTCTCACAAAGCTTTGGGTGTGTTTGAGATCTCAATGTCAGGGCTTATAGAGAAAAGAACTTGGGATGGAATAACCTCGAAGGGAAGTTGAGGCTGCAGAGGAACTGAGAGTGAGTGCTTGGGTGGTGGCAGGAGACAGGACAGCGTGTCATCATAGAAGTCAAGATAGTAAAGGGTTTCAAGGAGGAAGGGCAGGAGGTTAGCAATGTCAGCCTGGAGAGATCATGAGGAGGGCTGAGAAAGATCCACAGGGCTTGCCAACTGGTGGCCCTGTGTAAAACATCAAAGGCATCAAAGGCATATTTTCCTTGCGTGGTGGTGATAGAAACCAGACTGCAAGGGATGGAGGATGAGTGGAGGAGGAGCGAAGACAGCAAGCCAACTACTCTTTTGAGTGGTTTTGAGATAAGATGGGAGAGAGTGGTAGCTAAAGAGGATAGTGAGAGATTGGGAACTTTTTGTAAATATAGGAGTCATGAGAATGTTTATACGTAGAAGAAAAGGTGAGTAGGTTGGGCACGGGGGGAGGAAGGAGGAGAAAAAGAAGAGAAAGAAAGAAGTTGATAGAATAAGGTCTCTAAGGAGGTAAGAGTGGAGAGGCCTGGGAGCCCATGTAGGTAAATTAGGCTCAACCAGGAGGTGAGATACCTCTTCATGGAATTAGAATAAAGGGTGGATAAAGATAGAGGGAAATATTGATGCCAAGCTTTCGGAACTTGTTTTTTTTTTTTTTACATTTTGTTTTGAAAATAGGTGATGAGTTCAAGGCTCATTTAATCATTCATTCAACATGAGCTTCTAATGGGTGCTATTTTCCAGTCTAGGCTTTGTGAAAATGCTGGCAAACAAGACAAGTAAAAATCCTTGCCCTTGTGGCTGATATGGACAGTGAACAAGTAAGCAAATACACATAGGATATGTCAGATGGGCGACACGTGCCATTGAGATACAGCAGTGGCGATAGGGGGTGGCTGGCTGTACTTTACATGGGATGGTCAGGGCTGGACAGTGAGAGATGAGCCCCATGGAGCCGTAAGTGCAGAGGCCTGAGGCAGAAGTGTGCCTGGCATGGCTGGAGCAGAGTGATTGAGGGAGGCACAGCAGGATACAGGTTCGGAGAGGAAATGGGAATGGGGACAGCTTGCAGAGGGTCTTGGAGGCGATTGCAAGAATGGTGGCTTTTACTCTGTATGGTGTGAGAAGGCTTAGGAAAGATTTGGGCCCAAGAGTGACATTATCTGTCTTGTTCTGAATTGACCAGTATGGGCAGGATGGAAGGAGAGAGACCAGTTGGGAGGCTGCTGCTATTCATCTGGGCAGTGGGGATGGGAGATGTGCTGAGATTGCAGACATAATTTGGAGGTAGAGCCAGCACGATTACTGATAGATCAGACATGGGACGAGAGAGAAAGAGAAAAGTCAGAGACAATGCTTAGGTTTGGAGCCTGAGCAACTAAAGAACGGAGTTGCTCTTTACTGAGATGGGTAACAATTTAGGAAGAGCAGGCTTTGGGGGAACAGTAGAAGCATGGTTTTTGGACACATTAAGTTTGAGATGATCATGAAACATCTGCAATCATTGGATAAATGAGTCACGAGTTTAAGGAGAAGAGGCTGGAGCTTAGAGATGTGGGAATTGTCAATGTATACATGCCATGTAAAGCATAGCACTGGGCTATGTCACCAAGGGGTCGAGGACAGGTAAGGAGAGGTCACAAGGATGGAGTCTTGGAGTCCTGGAGTCCTGGAGCCTCCCACATTTTGGGGCTGCAGACAGGAGAGGGAACTAGCATAGGACCTGGCATGGAGCAGCTTGTGAAGGAGAGGAAAGGTAACAGCTGGAGCTCGGGGGGTGGGGGCAGGGCAGGGGCAATGTTGGCCACTCGTATGGCCCCTGTGGTGTGAAGGTGGGTGAGAAGTCAACAAGGGACAAGGGAGGGGTAACACAGCAGGTCCTTCCAGTGCATCTGAGAAGGTTTGTCTTAAGGACTTTTCTGGGGATGACCAGAAGCTGGGGGACAGACTAGAAAAGCACCAGGGGTTCCCCACGAAAGAGGATCATCACTCAGATGGCTGTGGTAAAAAGCTGGGGTGTGAGAGAGGGTGACCCTTAGGCTCAGGCTGGGTGTGTCACCTGGGTCCAGGGAGAGGCAGGTGCCCAGGAAAAGAGGGGAGGTCCAGGGACAGGCCGGCTGCCTGTGGGAGCAGGTAAGGTATGTGTGAAGTCTCCCGGACCCACTCTGGCACCTCTGCTTCTACCCTGGGGTTGGAAGAGATGAATACACTGTGCTGCTGGCCAGCAGGAGGTCTACCTGCCTTTTGGAGAAGCAGGACCTTGATTTCCCCCTTTTCCTGTCTGACCTTCCCCACCTCCCCGCAGTGTGTGCCCAGATCCCAGAGTCAGAATGCCAACTAATCTTGATTTTCTCTTTGTTTTTGTTTTGTTTCGTCTTGTTTAATGCCTTGTCCCCTGCATTCTCTGTGTTTCCCGTGTCCATCTGTTCCCTGGGCTGTTGGTGGGGTGCCTCCTCGCCTCATGTCCTCCCTTCCGCCTGCATCCCACTCTTTGCTGGCTCCTCTGGGGTGGGGGGTGGGCAGCGTACAATGCTAGGCTGCAGGGCATCAGGCACAGTGGCAGCTTCCCGCACCCTCCTCTCCACCAGCTCCGAGCTTCCTCCCTCTCTGGTGGGTGGCTCTTCTTCCCCCTTCTTCCTTTCCAGCTCTCTGGCCCACTTTTGAGTCGCAGTTTCTCTCCTTTACATTCCTTCATGTGCTATTCCTTCCAAACCTTTGCCCACCTTCTTCCTTCTCTCCTGTCTTTTCCTCTCCTTCTTCTGTTGTTCTCTGGTTTCCATCTGCTTCTCCTTCTCCTCCCCTATTTCTCACTATCCTCTCTTCTGTCTCCTCACTTGCTTCTCCGTCCCTCCTGTCTCCAGCCCTCTCTCCCTCCTCTCTGCATGAGCCAGAGCTCACTTCTGCATGAACATGGGTCTCACACTAGCCTTGGTGTTGCCTGCTGGGAACAATATCTGGAGTGACTAGACTAACATTCAGGGTCCCCTGTGGAGATGCAGACCTTTGCAGTGAGGGTGCTCAGTGAGGGATCCGGACAGTCCAGCACTCTGGCCACCCTGGCCAGACCGCCTGGGCTGCAGGGCTGTGTCTCAGCAGGAGCCAGGCTGAGCTTTGCATGGGGCTACCAGACACAGCACAAAGTGATGCCCCAGCCCCTGCTGCTCTGTCCACTCTTGAGCATGGCACACCCTGGGGACAGCAAACCCCCTCTGGTCCCCACCTCTAATCTCTGATCATATGGCTGAGAGTCAGAAGCTCTGGGTTGGGGTCCTGGCCCTGCCTGTGACCACCTCTGTGACCTTGGGCAAGTCTCTTTACTATTTAGAGATCAGTTTCCCAAAGTGAAAAGTAGACAGATGATAGTCTTGTCCTGTTGTGTATTTTGCACGGTGGCTCGATATGCCCCGGACGGATTACGTCATCCACTAACATTTACCCCTGGCCTCTGGGACACATAGGCCCTTAGGCATTGTGCTTTGGCTGGGGAATCACTTCATCCTTTCCCTGCACCTCCGATCCTGGCGGCTGAGTCAGGGAAGATGCTGTGCTCAGCCTTGTCCCACACCATGGCCCTGAGCAGCTCCGGGAAAAGGCCTAGGGGTGATGGGAACTGTTGATTCCCAGTGGCAATATCCGGTGCCTCCATGGCCCCTCCTTCTCCCGGTCCAGGGATAATCAGGAGATGGCTCTAGCTGACTGCCCCCTTCAACTGCCCCTCCCTCCTCTATTCTCTCTCTGCCCTTCTCTCTGCCCAGTGGTGGAGAGTGCAGTGGTCAGCTGGGCCTGGGTAGGGGCAGGCTCTGGGATGGTGGGCCTGCCCTGAGGAGAGCTGGCATGGCTTGCCCTAGGACTGCTAGTGTGATCGCCGTGTGGCTTTCTGGTGCCCTGGCCCAGCAGGTGGCCTCCTGGATCCCCTCGCTTCCGGAGCCCCAGGCGTGCCGTCGGACACCCACCCCTGCTACCTGGAGCTGAGGAATCCAGTCTTTTGGAAATCGGAAGGCTGGAAAGAAGAGCTGGATCTGTGAGGGTGGCAGTGCCAGTCTGGGGGGTGCAGGGGAGGCACCTCATGAAGCCTGACAGCAGGGTATTCGTCCACATGATCTGGGGGCGGTAGGCAGCAGTGCTTTACCAAAGTATGTGCATTGATCTGTGTCAGGGCTACAGCTCCTAGAATTGCAGGGTGTGTGCATGTGCGTGTGAGTGTGTGTGCGTGTGTGTGTCGCAAGAAGGGGATTAATTGCCTCCAGTCTGGCTCACGCTAGGGGCGTCTTGGAGAGACACCTCCCTGGGAAGAGCGCTGTTCTGGTGCCCTGCCCCTCAGGTCTGGGGGCCTGTGTGGAACCATGGAGCTGGGGTAACTGCTCATCCTGGCAGGGCTGTGGGGAAGGTCTGATGCTGTGTGTGAAGCAGCCCTTAGAGGACACCCAGGGCTCCTTGAACATAGGATGTGAGTGTCCTAAAAATACTTTGTTGTCGTAGGCTACCCCAGCCTTCTCAGGCTCCTGGGAGCTTCTCTTCCTTTCTTCCTCTGGCTACACAGCTTCCTAGTGGGGTAAGGGCTGGCCCTAGAGGTTCCAAGGGTGACCCAGTGGCCCCACAACATACCCCCATCATCCCAGTGTCCTGCTGCCATTTCTGTTAGGCTGTGTGTATACACGCAAGTATGCACATGTGTCTATGTGCAAGGCATCTACCTCTGCTGGGGTGGGTGTAGGAGACAGAGACCTTGAGAGAATGGGGCAGAGAGACCGAGAAAGCCCTGGGGTGGAGGGGGATGGTGGGAGGGAGGGAGGTGGGGGGAACAGGGCTATTTTTATTATCGGTCAGCCTCTGGGACGTGAGAGAGGGTGTTCTCTCCCCAACACTGGCTGTCAGCTTGTGTCCAGACACCCCAGCTTGGCTAAGGAACAATGGGGCTCTCTTCTCTCCCCTCTGCCATGCCAGTCTCCCCTCCCATAGAGCAAGACAAGAGAGAGGGAACATGGCTTTCCAGGCACTCCAGGCAGATCTGGGCTTGCCAACAGGGACAACAGTGGGACACTGTGTTCAAAGAATGTGAGTGGCCTTGACTGGCCATTGGTGCCATGGGGCCATTGGTGCTCTGCAGGGGGAGGGGCTGGCCCCGTGGGAGTGGAATGCAGGGTCTTCTCCCTTCCACAGAGGGAGGCACTGCCCTGCAGCTCCTTAGCTCTTTGGAGGTCATTCCCTCCATTTCCCTGCCTCTGGTTAGCACACGCTCCCACGTGCCATTCTGGTGGTGATGCAGGGAGGATTGGGAAGGTGCAGCTCACCCTCAGAGGGCTGACTGCCTCGTGCCGGGGCCACATTCTCCATGGTTGTCTGGCTCCCTTCTTCTGCATCTGTGGGCATCTGTGGCCCCTGAATGTGGAGAATGCTCTGGGCAGGTCATGCAGAATGTTCTTTGTTTTTCCAGGAGATTTGGTGCCTCAAAGGCAAACAGATCTATTTTTTAAGGGCAAAGATCCCCAAGCAGGAAAACTGGCCACCCTTTGAAAAGGTAGAGGGATCTGCCAGAAAGAGCTGCTGGGGGCAGAGGAGTCCGGAACTGAGACCAGCCCTAATGCATTTCTTTTAACCTTGGGGCTGAACTCAGTTCCAAACCCCAAGAGCCTTTCCCAAACGGGCCTCTTTTGTCACAATTATTGTTAGAAAAATCAATGGCTGTGTCTGTTTCTCTCTAATGTTTTTGCCAGGAATGAAACCAGTGGCAGGGTTGGTCCAAGCTGCCCAGGAGGCCTGAGTGGGGCAGGGGCTCCGGGGAGCTGAGGCCTGAGAGCCTGGGGTTGCTGTAGGGTTGCAGCAAGCTGCCCACCCTTCCCAAAACCACACCCTTCTTTCTAGACTCCATGTAGATTCTCCTAGCAGCCCCTGGCTGGGTCTAATGCTCCTATTTTTCTATTCTGCGAATAAGGGCTCTTCAAGGCGGTGGGGCTTATTTGCTTTACGTGGAGCAGTTTGTAAGTGGCAGAGTGAGGTCAGAGTCTAGTTGACTGTCCCTATCCTGGGCGCTGTTTTCTTAGCTGAGATGGCAGCAGGGCTGTCCTTGATTCATAAAGAGCCCAAAGTGGAGCCTCAAAGCACCACTCGGGTGCCTTCTTCATTGAATGTGCAAGTGCTGTTCCTGCGGCTCTCCTGACGTACCCCCCGCATACCGGAGCCCCTGATTATGGGAGAGTGTGAGGGTGTGTCTCAGAGCGACTGTGCCTATGTGAGTGTGAGTGTGTGTCTGCCCGTAGGCTTGGCAGCCGGCAGCTTGCTATTCATGACAAGTAGGAAGGCTTCCCAGACGGCGCTGTTTGTGGCAGCCTTTGTGGCTATGCCAGACTGGGGGTGCTGGGGAGCGGGCCTGGGGACATGCGGTCCTCGCAGAAGATGTTTCTGTCTGAATGAGGGTGACTTCTTTTTGGCTGTACTGGCACATTCCTAGAGGATGGCAATGTGTGTGCACACATGTGCACACACTGACACGTGATCTAGGGCCTTTGGCCAGTCCTAGTGGTAGTGAAGGCAGGGCTGAGAATCTCCACCAGAAGATATTCAGGACCAGAAGCCCATCTTTCCAGCTGGGTCTTGGCCTCTGGGACCCAGGAAGTGAGTTTTCTAGGATTCTGGGAGCCAGCTCAATGAGGCAATGGATTCCATGCCTCAGCCCAGCAGTGGGAAGAGGGAGTGGGAAGGAAGGAAGGTGAGATGAACAGCATCCCCAGTCCTGTGGAGTGCAGAAAAGCAAATGGAGCACATGACTTCTCTCTGCCTGTTCCTCAGCTGGGAGGGACAGGGTGGGATCTGCCGCCATCTTTGGGGCAGGGAAAACAGGGCAGAGAGCTAAGGGGCCAGTATAAGGGGAGTTGGTAAGAGGTTTCAGGTGCACTGCATGAAGTTGGGGAACCCCAGAGAAGGCCAAAAATATCCCAGAGGCCAATGGGGGCCAGGGACTTTGTAGCAAGACTTAGCTATGTCTTTGTTTTTCCTTGGGAGCGCCATTCGCAAGATGATGCAATCTAGCTCCTTCCAAGAGTTCTTCCCCACAGGCTTGATGTTGCTGCTTGGTTGATGCAGTTGCCTTGGAGACTCTTTTCCCTCCACCTCCCCTCCCTCATCTGGAAGCTCCCGCCCTCCGCCTCCAGGGGTTGGAAGTAGTTGACATCTGTTTCTTGTATCAGTCCTTTGTGCTCTTGGTCTCAGCCCTGAGTGGAGGGATTCCTGGTGAAGGCTGAGTCAGTCTAAGCAGATCTCCTCTCCTGCAGAGAAAACCTGGGGTGTGAACAGAGTGGGCGCAGGAGGGCTGAAGGGAGATACTGGGGGTTGACAGGCCAGCCCCAGCTCAGCTTCTGAGCTAGGAGGCACTGCCTTCTCTGAAGGAACTGGGCCAATTGATCATTTCTTGCACAAAATGCTCATTGTCCTCTGCACCCTGCCTTCCTCCCAGGGGTACAGGCTCGGGAGAAGCAGCCTGCAGAGCCCCCAGCCCCTCTGCGGAGGCGGGCGGCCAGTGATGGACAGTATGAGAACCAGTCTCCAGAAGCCACATCCCCCCGTAGCCCTGGGGTTCGCTCCCCTGTCCAGTGTGTCTCCCCCGAGCTGGCTCTTACCATCGCTCTTAATCCTGGAGGGCGGCCCAAAGAGGTGAGTCCTTAAGCTGCATTTGGGGGCCACCAAGGGTAGTGGTGCCCACTTTAAATCTCCAGAAACCTGAAGGTCAGCTTGGCACTGATATCGGTATACTCAGTAATTTGTCTCCCCCTACATCCTCACCCAAACTCTCTTCTCCGACATGCGGAATCCAGGGCCCATTTCCTCTCACTTCTTGCATTAATATCAAGATTGCATTTTCCTTTTTGATTCTTACAGAGTGCCTTAGTTAGGTGGTAAGAATCCTGGGGATGATATAGCTGAATGCAATCTCTAAACTCCAAACCAGATCCTGGAGAGTGGGAAAATTATTTTTGAACCCTTTCCAGATACAAGTTTTTTCTCGGGAGGTTTAATTTTCATTCTAAAAGGTTTGTATTTCAAGATATTTCAGTGGTTGGAGGCATGAGTCTCACACTTCAGCTTAAGTAACAACCACTGGGGCGTTTGTTAAAACTGTAGCTTCCCAAATCCACCTCCAGAGATTCCAGTGTAGTAGGTCTGGATGGCACCTAGGAATCTGCATTCTAAATGTGTACCCTGGAAGATTCAGTTGTAGGCGAGTGTACTGGCCTATAAAAGCCAGGCTGATGAGTCATTCTGCATAGAAGTGACTTGTGCTTATCTTTTCTCTCCTGCCTCTGGCAGGACCTGTCCTGCCCTGAGCACCAGTGGGGAGCCAGGCTGGCAATGGGATGTGGGGGCTGGTTAACTTGCTGTGCTCATACCCCAGGTCATCTGAAGGGGAAACCCCTCCTTCTCATAGTGTCCCTCTTTCCCTCCCCCATGTTCTCCCACAGCCCCATCTGCACAGCTACAAGGAGGCCTTCGAGGAGATTGAGGGAAGCTCCCCGAGCAGCCCACCGCCCAGTGGGGGTAAGAATTCCCTGCTGAGCTCATCTTCCCTGTATCCCCTCCACCCACCAGCTCAACCCTGCCTGTGGGAGTGCTCCAGGCCTGAGGGTTGGGGGGTGACAGTGCCCCAGGTGGGGCCAGAACACGCTGCTCTTCACCCCCATGGCCCCTTCTCTTCCACTGCTTGTGGCCATTGTCTTCTCCGTCACCCACACTCACACATCTAAGGGTACAGATGCCCCAGTTCTTAGGGTCCAGGCTGAGTGATCATGGGACTCTGGGCTCCCACATTACAGAGTTTTCTTACTTGTTTAGAGTCTTCTTGCCTTCCACACTCAAAAGACCCCACCATCTTAGCGTGGCTGTTTGTGACTTGACTTTGACTTCGTTTCTGACCCCCATCTCTGCCTGCATCCAGACACCTCTTCCATTTCAGGCAACTATTTAGCTTCGACCAAGGAGAGAGGGACCCAGGACCCTTAGGCTGACAGAGCCCCCAGCTCATTCATCCTTGGCCTCCAGGCAGAGGCATTTAGCCCTCTACCCTCCATATACTTGCTGGAGAGGCAAATCCCCAAAGGACAGAGACATGTCTACCTAAAGTCAAGACCCAAATGAGCCGAGACATGGGTCAGTGTTCCTTTTTATAGAAGAGACATGAAGAGAAACTGGAGGAGGTGGTTGTGGGGAAGGAAGCGATGGATTAATACCAGGCTGTGAAGGACTCAGTGTACTCATGAGAGGCCTTGGTCAGCACAAGAAGGAGAGACTGGTGCTGTTCAGGGGTCAGGTTGGCTGGGCCTGGCCCAGGCTATCCACTGGCCCTGGGGAGAGGAGGGAGAAACGGAGCTGGCTGTGCATTCCCTTGGGGGCTGCGTGTCCTGTCCTGGAGAGGAATGTGGCAATGTACGTGCCCATGTGCCAGCAGAACTTGTGTTGGCTGTCATCTTGGGCATGAGGAGGCTGAAGCTGTGACCGATTGGCGGCCCTTGGAAGCTGTGGCTCTCCCTTGAGCAATACTGTCCAATGGAAATATAATATGAACACATTTATGATTTAAAATTCTCTAGTCACATTAAAAAGCACAACGGAAAACAGGTGAAATTAATTTTAATAACATTTTTGTTAAATCCAAAATATCATCTCAATAGGCAAATAAATCAATTAAAAATATTGAGCTTTTTTACAGTCTCTTATAAAATGTAAGAAGAAACTGGTAAAATTAATTTTAATATGTTTGATTTAATCCTAGTCTAAAATATTAGAATTTTGACATACCATCAATGTAAAAAAGAGCGGGATGTTTTGTGTTCTTTTCCCCACTCAGTCTTCGAAACCTGGTGTGTGTTTCCCACTTATGGCATGTCTCTGTTCATGCTGGTCACCCTGCAAGTGCTCTGCAGCCATGTGTGGCTTGTGGCTGCTGGGCTGGACAGGGTAAGCCTAGAGCGGGTTACTCGAGAGCCAGTTCTATAGCCTCTTCTGACCATGGGGAACCTCTCTCCCAGGGAGACATCTGCCGACATCTGCCTCCATTCACTGTTGACCCTAAGCATCCAGGGGAGGGACATCACCCTGCCTTGGGGGGAAGCCCCCTAGGCTGTGTTAGAACTGGGTTTTTCCTTCTCCTCTCCCTCCACTTGGCCAGCCATGGGTGCCTAGGCAAGAAGTCAGAGGCTCCACAGATACACAGGGCTAGAGAGAGAAGACAGAAGGTGGAGAAATGTGTGGAATTTTTCTCTCAGGAAGCAAAAGCCTTGACTGGCTTTAGTGTCACCCACTCATCTGTCTCAGCAGAAGGGCCCAATTGCCCCAGAACTGGGGGAATGAGGAATTTGGGAGCTGGAGGTGAATGAGGGAGGAAAGCAAGAGAGAGCTCCTGTCTGGTCCTCCTGTCCCCTTCACCTCCTCACGGGCCCACCTGCCCCTCTGCTGTACCAGTTGGTTAAATGTGTACATATTTGTAGGCTGAGGTTGCTTCGTGGTTACTCTGTGAACGACTGTCTCTGAGGCCAGGCATATTCTTTCATGATTAATTTCATTCAACCACCACTGGTTTGAGAAACATTAATAAGTGCTTGATAAGTGAATATGAGCAAGACACCATGATAGGGAAGAGGGGTATGGCAGTGGTAGAAACTGAATGTGTGTGTGTGTGTGTGTGTGTGTGTGTGTGTGTGTGGTGTATCTATGTAAAGACAGAGAGAAGATAGACAGACACACAAGGCCTAGACCTATCCCATACCTGGAGCTGTACCCATTTGTCACCTATCCAAGGACAGAGTGAGAGTGAAGGGCAGGGGTGTACCACCCATTCAGACCCCTGTGATGTCTTCCTGTTCCCATGTGCATGTGGGTATTCGTCTGCACAAATGAGTTATGTATGTTGCTTGCATTGAGAGAGTAAATTTTTTCATTGTTGTGAGATTCCTGTAGGTCTCACTGTCTTTGCGGGTAAGCAGCAGGGGCAGGGAGGGTCATGGAGCTTTTGCTGCTGGTGGTTCCTGGGCATTTGAGGGCCACAGCTAGTCTGTTGAGGCCACTGGGCAGGCAGAGTGTCCTTGGGGCTGTGCAGGCTCCCAATGTCGCTGATAGGAGACATAGTTCATTTTTTAACTTCTTCTTAGGGCTATGTCAGGAGACACAGCAGCTGCCACCCAGGTATCTCGTGACTGGGCATAACAGCCACCCTGCAGATCAGCTCCGAATCTGGCCAGGTTCTTGGCTGATGGGAAAAAGCCAGCAGCCCTTTCTGACCTTGTGTGTTACATGATACTTGTAACCCAGATGGGCAGCCTGGGAGGAGCCCGGGCTTTGCACAGGGAGCGGATGTTCTTGGCCACAGTCTTACAGGATTCTCCTTCCAGGACACTGAAGTTTGAGGGGGACAGAGCCCCACATTGAGAAGTTCTCTCCTCCTGGGCTTTGCAAGGGACATGCTTGGCCGAGGGCTGCCTGAGGTCTCAGGGTTGGCGTGGCTCTGGCCTGTGATCTTCTCCTGTCTCTGTTCTTTACAGGGTGTGCCATTCTGAGATCCAATTTTCTTCTGTTCTCTTCTGAATCCATCCAAATGCATGTTCTAAATGGACTTTGTGTGTATGTGTTATAGAGAAGGTCAGAGACAGCTGCAGAAGCCTGTGTGTGTCTTATAAAGCATTGCAAAGTAAAGGGACCACAGAGAAAAGCCAAAGGCCTAGGGGTGGAAATGATTCTCTCAAGGTTGGGGCCAGAGCCAGGACAAGGTTGTCATTTCCTGACTCTTTCCCTTTATCCTTTAAACTGCTGAAATGTGGAGAAACGCAGAGGCAGGAAAGGGCAGTGGAGCCAAAGCACTGGGCTTCATGGTGGTTCCTTGGCGCTATCTCCCACCCCCTAGCCCTTGTTGAGCGTGTCCTCGTGGCTGGCATGTCGGCCCTCCTGCCCACCTCTTACTCCCCATGTCTCCCCTCTTCTTCCTGGCACAGTGCGGTCCCCTCCGGGTCTGGCCAAGACACCCCTGTCTGCTCTGGGCCTGAAACCCCACAACCCAGCAGACATCCTGCTGCACCCCACAGGCGGTGAGTTGTAAAGATGGAAGATGGGGAGGGGGGCTAGGGAGAGGAGCGGGGAGGAGGACTCCTGTGGTCCTGAACAGAAACCTGGGCCTCAGAATCTGGTCAGCAGCCAGCTTTGTGCCCACACTGAGATCAGGCCTGGGAGTGGGCTCTCTGTATAGGGGCAGGGGGGTGACAGGTTTCCTTGCAGCCTTCCTGACCGTTGACTTGTGGAATCTTCCCCACTCCCAGCCTCCTCTAGCTTGGGGCTTTGGACGGCTGGTCTCAGTTTCCTTGGTGGTGTTGAGCTTTCTGCTGGAAGCCACATGTTCTAGGTGTTCAGGCCCTTGTGTACATGCACATGGGCGCACACACAGGCACACATGGGTACACACACAGGTACACACACAGTCAGAGAAGCATGCCCCTGCTGCTCTGTGTCAGGCCTCTGCTGGCAGCCCAGCTACCTCTGCTCTGAGCATCCATGAGGCATCACAGGCCAGACCCCTGGCATTCAGAGTGGTCTCTCGGTCTGCCTCTTCAGGCCCACAGAACCCTACCAGAAAAACCCATGACTAGCAGTGACCATCACTGGCTGCCATATCCTTGGCCCCCTTGCCCTCAGCCCAGGCCTCCTCCCACCTATCGAAGGACCTGCCACCTGGGGCTTCTGACTTTCCCCAGCCTATGCCCACCCCTCGTCCCCATTCCCCATGCTGGCTGTATCTTACCCAGCTTCTGAGGACAGCAGTCCAAGCTCTGAGGAAGGAAGGAGGATGGCTGCCCCACCTCCTTGGGGTCAAACAGCCTGTCCTGTTGGCAAGGTAGAGGACAGGGCCCTGGGCCTGTCTGGGAGGAGGTCGTCTTCTGAGCAGACGCCACCCTAGGTTCACACCTCCGACCTTCTCCCATTTCTCATCCCCTCTCCTTCCTATGGTGGAAGGAGGCAGGGCTCCCTGGGCCCTTGGTGGCCATGTGGGGCCACTGAACTCAGAAAGCTGCTCCCTGGACTCTGGTTTTAGGACTGGGTAGGAGCTCCTGGGGTCAACTTTACTTTTTTCCTTAGTTACCAGAAGATGGATCCAGCCAGGTAGGTGGGCAGTGGCATGCATTTGTGACCCATGAAGACACACAGCTGGGCACAGCCTCCTACTCAGAGTGTTGGCATGGCCAGGGACACTGAGCCACTGAGGGGTCAGCAGAAGCGGGTTGGGGGCTTCCTCTCACCAGCCAGCACACTCCTGCTTGACACTCCACCCACAGAGCCCTGGGCACAGGGGTGGCAAGGGGCTTAGGCTCCTGAGAGCCAGGGTCTCAACTGTGCCTCAGAGCCCTGGGGTCCTGTGCATGGTGGGCCTCGGCCTTCCCCTTGGAGCCCTTCTCTGGAAAGCGCATATCAGCCCTGGCCTCACCCCGGCTTTCCCACCTCTCTTTTCTCTGCAGAATCTCTTTCTTAAGAAATCATCCCTATTAATCTCTCTCTCTTTTTCCTTTTTTGCTCTTCCTCATCTTCACTACCTGCCCTTCTTTCCCACCTCTCCTTCCTCCTACCTCTCTTCTTGTCTTCCCTCAGAGGAAGATGAGGGGGAGGGGGTGGTCAGACTCCCAGAAGGTAAGTGGCATTTGCTATGGCTTCCTGTTCTCTGGGTCTGGAAATGGCTTTTCCTGCAGGGCTTGAAAAGGCTGGCTGGAGGCAGCTTTCCTCACTGAGACTCAGGTGACCGGGCACATGACCTTTTGTCCCCATGCCCTGTTGAGATACCACTCTGGGCACCTCCTCAGTCCTGATGGGGAGCTTGTAGCTTGATTTTCCACCCACTAAGAGGGGCACAGCCAGTGTCTGTGGGCTCCTGCAGTGCCACCCTGTTGACCAAAATGCCCCTCTTGCACCTTCCTCTTCCAGTGCCATTTGTGCCAGCCTGCCTGGCATGCAGCAGTGTACAGAGGTGGACAGGGAGGGACTCAGATCCCCTTTCCCGGGGTGTGCTCCACAGGCATTTCTTGGAGCAGAGATTCCCCACCTCGGCATCACTGACATTTTAGACTGAATGACTCTTTTTTGTGGGGGGGAGGGGATGGAGTTCTGCTCTTATTGTCCGGGCTGGAGTGCGGTGGCGTGACCTCAGCTCACTGCAATCTTTGCCTCCTGGGTTCAAGCGATTCTCCTGCCTCAGGCCCCTGAGTAGCTGGGATTACAGGTGTGTGCTGCCACACTCAGCAATTTTTTTTTTTTGTATTTTTAGTAGAGACGGGGTTTCATCACGTTGGCCAGGCTGGCTCTGAACTCCTGATCTCAGGTGATCCGCTCACCTTGGCCTCCCAAAGGGCTGGAATTATAGGCGTGAGCCACTGTGCCCAGCCCTGAATGACTCTTTGTTGTGGGTGCTGCCCTGGCTTCTACCTGCTTGATGCCAGTACCTCTCACTCAGTCATGACAATCGAAAATGTCTCCAATGTTTCCAGTGTCCCCTGGGGGAATAATTCTCCTGGCTCAGAGCCCCCATCTTAGAGCCACGATTTGCCCTCTGGAAGCCCTGCCTGGTTTCCTATCAACTCAGAAAGTACCAAGTCTGTCTTTCTCCGATTTCAGACAACTTTAGGTATTTGAGGAAATCTACGGACTCACTGTGTATACAATAATGCACTGGGATTCCCATGTACATAATTCTGAGAAACGGTTTCAAGGAGTTGGCCTGTCTGTGGGTCCCAGATGAACCCCTGATTTAGATGAGCCCTGTACTGGGCCCAGGGAGGCAGAGAAAGGGCGTAATCAGGTGGAGGCCTTGGACTCACTAGGAGCAGAACTTGAGTGAGGACTCAAAGCAGCAGGTGAAACAAAGTGGGTGCCAGCCTGGGCGGGAGGCCAGTGTATGGTTCTGGGTACTGGCATCCCCATCTCTACCAGGACGATAGGGCAAAGTGGGTACTGTGATCTCTTCCAGTTCTGACGAGTTAGGTGTTCTGACTTCCCAGCTGGGCCCTGGGCTGGTTGGCTGGTTTTCTCAGGGCTATTTCCCACTTTCCTCTGTACACAACACCTTGCTTTTCTACCCACTAAGCGGGGATGGCCTGTGCCCCTCTAAATCTACTGTCACCCAGGTAGGATGGTTGGAATTTCCCAGAAGCCTTTGCTCTCTCCTAACCAGCCGGAGATTGGGCAACAGCATCAGGCTGCTTGGGGGCTGCAGAACAGGGCAGCTTCCAGAGACAGATCCAGAACAGGTGGGCCACAGCCTGCTTCCCTCTGCTGGGAACAGCTCCTCCTCGCTCCCTTGCAGGCTCATGCCTGGGTAAAGGGCTTTCTCCCAAGCTGGAGGCTGACAGCTGGTCCTGGCAGGGCAGGACCTGGGAGAGAGAGTCTAGAATTAGCTAGAGCTCAGAGCCAATGTTTCTGTACTTCAGATGCTGGACCATGCAATGGGCTCTCAGCTCCCCTTGCAGTTGTTTGACTTAAACAGACCTGTGGTATCTCAAACACTCTCCAGTGGGAAGGGCCACAGGGTGGATTATCTAGCAAGCTGGCAGTCCCTGGGGATTGTGTCTCTCACTTTGGGGTAACTTCAGGGGCGTGGGCACTGACAGAACTGAGCTCTCTGCCAAGTGCACCTCCTGAATGACTCATCTTGCACGGCCCCAAGTGCTCTAGCCACAGCCAGAGTTTGGAGGAGAAGGTTATTAGGGGTTAACTCAGCCACACCCATCATTGTCACAGATATGCAGCTGACATCAGCATTGTGGGTGGTTTTGGGGGATCTGCCCAAGGTCACAGTTAGGAGGTAACAGAGCCAGACTGGAGTTATTGGTCTCCTATCCCTTCCTCAAGTGGCCATTTTAAAGCCCTTTTCCTGACTCCAGGCACTGTGCCCTGGGATTCCAGTGTGGGAGTTGGAATTGCTGCCCGTGGCCTGAGGAGTGGAGCAGGGAAGGGGCAGGCAGCGAAGCTGTGGGCAGCCAGTTCCTTATTTTCTGACTCATGTGCCACCGTCCGGGTCAACCTAAAGCCCATTCTTTGCTGACCCTCTGAGGCTCTGCTTGATTTCCCTGCTGATACTTGGGAAATTCAGAAAAAAAATGCCTGTGAGGCAAAAATGACCAGAGGCAGGATTATTCAACTGGGGGAAAAGAAGAATTTGAGGGATGTCTGCTCTATCCCGGGTGCTATGGGAAACATTTTACATTCATTCTTTCATTCATTGCTTCATTTATTCATAATACTTTGTGCACCAACTGCGTGCCAGGCTTTGGGAATATAAGGATGTGTAAAGCAGCTGGTGAGGAGAGCGATGCCAACAGACACTTCAATATTAGGCAAAAGTGCTGAGCAGGGGTAGGAATAGGATGTCATGGAAGCTTGGAGGAGGGGGCATGTGGCCTGACCTAAAAGGTTTGGCATTCTCACTTTTGAGCTTCTGACTCTGGGACCTGAGAGTTTCCACATTCCCTTCTTTCTCCTTCACCTGCATGTCTTGATTTTACTTAGGATGGGTGTGCCCCTTCTCTCCAAGCAAAGAGCCTCTTTGGGGAGACAGAAAATATATTTCAGGGTGTGGATCAAGAGCTGACAGTGCCCAGCTGGAGGAGGCCAAGTCACTGTGCTGCAGCTGCTCTCTGCCGCCAGCAGCCACTTGGCAGGGTTTGGGTTCCTGGAATGTTCTACATGAAGCACCCTCCCTGTCCCCACCTCTCCTGCCTGCCCAACTCCCTGTAGCCTGTGATGCAGCTGCTCCAGGATTGGAGGAAAAGAGGAAAACAGCAGGAGAGGTGGTGCAAGTGAGGAGTGGAGGGAGGCTAGGATCAAGGGTGGGGAGCAGCGGGGCTGGTTCTGAACACTGGGCCTGGGATTGGCAAGAAAGAATTAGGAGGAACTTTCCTGCTTCTTCTCACCTGATCCTGGCTGGGCAGGGAGGTATTCTCATTCCCACTTTGCAGATGAGGAAACTGAGTCCCAGAAAGTCTCTAGTAAGTGCAAGGGTGGTGGATGAGGGGAGAGCTTGCAGTTTGAAGTATATTATCCTGGGATGGGAGAGAGAGAAAGAGATAGAATAGACAGAAAAAGGAAGCATTTTCAATATAGAAATCTAAGTGTGAAAACTGGGGAAAACTGATGGTTAGCCCTGAAGATTGGTTTTAAACAGTTCTGGAGATGAACTCAGGAAATCAAGTAACTTCCCAAGGTCCCTCCGGCTCTGAGTTCATGAGGAATAGAGATTGCATGGAAGGGTTTCGTTCTTCTCTACCCCGTGATCTGGGACTGGAGGGGGGCAGGTTGGGGTGGCAGTCAGAGGGCAGACCAGCTGACCAAGGAAGAGCATTCGCTGGGAGGGAGAAAGGCAGGTGGGGGCTCGGTGAGGGCAGGGCCAGGTGGGACTGGGTCTCAGTGACCTGGGCTAGGTTGGCCACCCAATGCACAAGGGTTGTTTCCGACACTGTGGTGGGAGTGGATGCTGCTGCTTCTCCCTGGGCCAGCCGTCCTGTTCCCCAAGTTCAGACTCCTAGTCTCTTGAGAACTCCTCTGGTGTTCTGCAGTTTAGGAGCTGAAAAGCCAATGGGACTGTTGCCTTAAGAAGTTGGCCATCTATTGAGCCATCTCAGGGTTTCTGATATGCTGTCTCATGGGTCCTCCATGCAATCTTACCCTCAGACTCTCAGGCTGCGACTCAGGTGCCACATTTAGGCCAGAAGCAGTTAGTAGACACCCAGCCTGTGTAATGGCAAGTAAGCCATGGGTTCCAGGCTTGGCTGTGTCCTGACTGTAGGACAGGGTGGTGTGGCCCATTTTATCTCAGTTTTACTGTTGCTAGAAGTTGTACTTCTTTAAAGGGGTGGGGTGTAGGGCAATGTGTGTTGCTTACCCAATATGTGGGTTAGGGGCCTGGTGGGAAACTGATGGTTCATTCCAATGGAGCAAGCTAGGACAGCTGATGGACCCTTAAAAGGTCTGGGCAGACCAACGAGGGATGGGAAAGCACCTGGAGTTCTCCCTAACAGGAGCAAGGAGCCATCTTCCCAGGCCTTAAGGAATTAGGAGGGAGCTGGAGGGCAGGGCTGCTGACCAGAGTGTGGCTAGAGGGAGGTAGGTAGGGGATGCAGCCACTGGCACCTTGCCCTTCTCTCTCCCTCCCTCTCATTCATACCAGACCTTCTGAAGGCCAAACCCATCCTGAGCCAGAGAGTAAGGGGGTTTGGATGACATAGTAAATAAAAGCTAGTCCAGTGATGCAGATCAGGGTAGAGAGTAGATTAGGAGTGATATCAATGGATTGGAGAACACAGACCTTCACAGTGTCATTCATGTGGGTTTCAACTAGAACTTCAGAGAGTGAGAAAAATGGATGTGTGCGTTTTGCTGGGGTCTTACTGTGTGCCTCTGGATGGGGCTGGAGTGTAAGGATAATGCTTCTGTGACTTTGTGGGGCACATGTCGATCAAGGTCTGCTGTGTACTAGGTGCTGTGTGAGGACTCAGCATGCAGATCAGCTAGGCAGCTCTGGAAGCCCTTAGACAGCCAAAGAGTGGCTTCCTCTCCCTGGGTGGGAGAGAAGGGGTGCCGAGAACTGTGGGGACCCAGGTGAAGCCATGGTGAGTGCCTGGAAGGGTCCGGGAAGAGTTTTCAGAGAGTGACCTAGGGTGGCAAGGGACTGGAGGGGAGAGTGAACTCTCGTTCACTCTTGGGTGTCATTTGCATGGCTGTGGGTGAGGCTCCCTCTGAGGGTCCCTTCTCCCAAGCTGGGTTACCAATTTCCCAAGACTAAAAACACTGAAACTACTGGCTCCCTGACTTGCAGAGGGTTGCATTTGCAATGGTTAAGGGCAGATTGGGGCCAGATTGCCTGGGTTCCTAGGCCGACTCTGCCCCTTGCTAGCTGTGACCTGGGTAAGGTACTTATATCCCCCCAGTCCTACGTTTCCTGTATAATTGTTTGCTCTTTTGATCATTAGGAATAGCCCCATGGAGTTGGCTCTTCTCTGGCTGATGGGCTGGAGTGCTGGATAGAGCCAGCTCTGGGTGTCCTATGAGCCTATAGACCCTGTCTAGGCCACCCAGAGCCAGCTTGTGAGTCTGGAGACTCTGGTGCTAGTGTTCAGTGCCACTAAGCATCCATGTATCCTGGGCACATGGCTCTACCTCTCTGGGCTGAGGAGACAGGTTAGATCAGGGGTCGGCACACTGTGACAGCCGGTCACATCCCGCCCACTGACTATTTTGGTAAAGAAAGTTTGATTGCAACCCAGCCACACCCATTCACTGTCCTATAGTCTATGTAAGCTTTCACACCACCACAGCAGAGGTGTGTAGTTGCAACAGTAGCAGCCTGACCCACCAGCTTAAGATATTGACTATTGAGTCTTTACAAAAATGTGTGCTGGCCCTGGTCAGGGGATCTCCGCATTGTCTTCTGGTTCCAGCAGAGCCTCATACTTGGGTGGCGCAGAATCCATGCCTCTGGTGTGAATTTGGCCTGGGCCTTCTGTGAGGTGGGTGGGTGGCCTGGACTGGTTGAGGAAGGCTTTCCAGGAGGCCTTGCTGGTATTGCCTGCATGGATTCCAGCGTTGGGTGCCTAGGTGGCTGGTTCTACATCACCCTGTGCCTGGTACCTGGAATAGACCGCCTGTGCCTGCCTCTTTGCAGACAAACTGCCTCAACCTTGTTCACTGTCGTTGTCGGGTAGAGGGAGCTCTGCGTGGGGACAAAAGACAAGTGGGGAGGCTGTGGCTGGAGCTGTTTGCAGACCCTGTTACAGCCTCCGGGACCTGCTCTGTAAAGCGTCCTGTGCTGAGCGAGCGACCATCCTCTTCCGGTGTCCAGAGAGGCCTCTGGCCTGGGTGTAGGATGTCAGACCTGAGGGCTACCCCAGGAGCATCTCCCTGGAGGCTGTGCCCCTATGCAGCAAGCCCTGGAAACACCCTGCTAGCACCCTGGTTTTCTGTGGGCTTAAGGGAGGAAGTTTGCATGTCAGCCAGCTAGACCTTGGGCCTGTCACCCATGAGGGACCTGGAGGAGGGGGCTTTTCTCCAGCTCTGAGCATCACAGTCTTGACCAGCAGGGGCTGCAGGGGCCTGGCCTCCTGAGGGCTGCACAGACTCTGGTTCTTCAGTTTCTCATGCTGATTTCAGTGGATTCCTCAGTTGTGGGCAGTATGGCTTTGTACTCAGGCCAGTTTCCTCCTGGGTAAGAAAAGGACAGGGCTGGGTTTGGAGGTGGTGGGAATGACATCCCTCCCCAATCGTGGCCCTGGGTAACTTGGTAAACAAGAGAGTTCTGCTGGTTCTTCCTGTTTCAAATGGAGTGTGTTTAAAGGCTGGCCTCAGAGGCCGTGGAGGAAGCGGGCAGGTGCTGGACCGGGAGTCAAGTGGGGCCGTCTGTGACCTTGTCATTTCCCTTGCTGGGCCTCAGCATCTTCATCTGTAAAATGGTCTTTTCTAGCACTTTTCCCCCACCCCTTCCTCTTAGGCTATTTGGAACACCAGGTAGGGCCATGTATATTGAGATCCTCTGTAAACTGCTTGGTGCTACAGGAATGCCAGAGGTGGGTGATGGAATGCTGAGTTCCACCTGGGAATGGGATTCCCTGACGCCAGTCTCTGGAGGAATGCTGAGTGTGTCAGGCAGAGAGGGGTGGGTGTGTCTTGGCATCGAAGGGGCTGGTGAGTCCACAGCAGCCCTGCAGGGTGTGACTCACCAGTACAGGCCCGTTGCAAGGTGGCCAAGGCTGTTTCTGGATTCTGGGCATGGGATGGAGCTCACATGAACTCTGGAGCTGTCCTGGAAGACAGGCAAGGTGGGAATGGACCTCTGGGCCTGCCGTAGGGCCCCAGACTCTAGTAGCACCAGGAGAACCTAGAAGGGCCTGAATGCTGAGTAGCAAGATCATCGAAGAAAGAGAGCAGCCAAAGGGGGTTGCCAGCTATGGACAGACTCCTAGTCCTTGGAGGGAAGAGTCCCTGATGGCCATGTTCTGAGGCGGAGCCTGGGGTCCATTTCAGGGTCCCCTCTTCTAAGCAAGGCCCTGGTGAAAGGTAGCTGCAGGGCAGGTGTGTCAGGGCAGGCAGGAGTCCTTGGTCTCTTTTGGGGGCTATTCCTGTGTTCCCAGGCTGGTGTCCGGGAGGCTGGGTTCCATCCAGGGCTGGTTGGGTGGGATCTGTGGATCTGTGCTCAGAGTCTCTGTCCCCTTGTCCCTTCCAGAGCCCCGGAGCTATGTCGAATCTGTGGCGCGGACGGCCGTGGCTGGGCCTCGAGCTCAGGATTCTGAGCCTAAGAGCTTTAGCTCCCCAGCCTCCCAGGCCTATGGCCACGAGACACCCCTGAGGAATGGGACCCTGGGTGGCTCCTTTGTCTCCCCCAGCCCCCTCTCCACCAGCAGCCCCATCCTCAGTGCTGACAGGTAAGCCGGGAAGGGGCAGTGGGTGGGGGATGAGAATCCAGGCCTGGGACTAGGATGGGATGGGTGAGGCCTCCTGGATCTGTTGCCTATGGTGTGAACAGGCAGAAATCACACCCAGATGGGGGCATCTTGTAAACCACGTCATCAAGGTGCATTGAGGGCACATGTCCTGAGTGCTGAATTCTGTGGGGAGCCCGGGGCAGTTACCTGTGATTCCCAGGTGACATTCAATTCCACCCATCCAAAACTGTGCCGGGAGGAGTGAGGGGTACCACGGTTAATGCGGCAAAGTCCTTCTCCGAGTTGAAAATCTACCAACAGTAATGACTTATGCAGTGGACTCATCCTCGGTACCAGGCACTTTCCTAAGTGCTTTATACAGTTATTTAATTCTCGCAGCAATCATAGGAGGTGAGCACTATTATTGTTCCCACTTTTCAGAAGAGGAAACTGAGGCATAAAGGTGCAGTAGCTTGCTCGAGGTCCCACAGCTGAGCAGTGGCAGAAATCAGATTCAGGAGGAAGCGTGTGGTCCCAGAGCCCACGTCTCTATCCTCTACCCCAGACCTGCGTCAAGGTGCCATCCCACACAGGATGAGAGTCAGATGGGCCCGAAGCCCACACATGAGTGAAGGGCTTGGAGCTCAGAACAAGGGGCCATTCTTTCTGGCTTGGGGTGCAGGGAGGATTTCTGAGGGTTGGAGGCATTTGTGGAGGGTCCAGAGGAGCTAGCAGGATGTTGAAAGATGAAGAAGGAGAGAGAGGGCATTCCAGAAAGACAGCTCAGCAGGGACAGAGGACTGGGCTGTGGCTGTGTTGGGAGCGTGGGGCTGAGGGCTTGCGGCCTGCCATTAGGAGGTGCCTCAGTGGATGGACGGCTGGCATCCATATATCTGAGTGCATCATACAGAGATGAAAGCCCAGAAGTGGGCAGAGTGGGTGGACAGTCCTTGCTTCCCTGCTCACAGGCTCAGTGGAGGGGTGCAGCAAGGAGCTGCTGGACTGGAGTAGTGGGGGTGAAGGTGGAGGGGACACAGAGATGGGATGACAGCATAGGAAAGAAGCCAGGCAAAGGAGGAAGACCCGGCTGGCCTACATAGCGCCCAGGAGGGGAGACTCTGCCTGACCATCCCTTCTGTGCCGTGCCCACTGCTCTCCCTAGTCTGGGATGACACAGGGCCTGCAAATTCCCCTGACATTTCCCCAGGCCCGGTGGGGCCAGGTTGTGGCACAGCCTATATTGGCTCAGTGCTAAGCCTCCCCTGCAAGTCGGGGTACCATGGAAGGAGTGGGGGAACAGATGAGCAGAGACAACTGTCTTGTGGATTCTAAGCCAAGCAGGCCCCCTCCCCAGCCTGTCAGCAGGGCAGCAGGCTGCATTGCTAGGAGGCCTGACTCTGGCAGAGGGTTGCACTTCCCATGTTAAAGGAAAGGGGATGTTCCTAAGTTGCCCCAGCCACCCATTGTTGATGCTCAGTGAGCTCTGGCATTAGGAAGTTTTTCGCTCTTTCTCGCTCAAATCCCTCCTGCTGAGGCATTGGCCCTTTGCAGGAAGCTGGCCTTTCTCCTCCAGGATTAACCTTCCAGAACTCCATTTTACTGTCTCCTTCTCCCGCCCTGCTCAGCCTGGCTCTGGCTCCCAGTCTTCAGAATCCAGTTTATTCTGGATTATGCCAGGAGGTGGCTCTCTGCTCTGGCCCCTTCTGGGATGCAAGGTAGACTTTGTCCTAGCCTGGCCCCTGACCTTCTCCTTGCCCTTGGCTCTTGTTCCAAGAGCATACCCCCTACTAAAAGCTCATGTCACCACGTGAACCTGAGCTTATCCAACCTGGCCCAGCAGGGGCTGGCCTGCCACAAGGTCCTTCCGGCCTGCGGTTCCAGGTTTTGGCCCATTGGCTAAGTAAGGACCCCTCCCTCTGGGGGCGCCTGGTGCACAGCCTGCCTGCTACCTCCCTACAGCTACTGGTTTATGCAAGGTCCCTGTCAGCCTTTGTTTCTCTTGCTATAAATGGATGGAAGTTCGGATCTGGAAGGAGTCAGGGTCACCTAATCCAGCCCCTCATGTTCACATGGAAAAACTTTAACAAGCAAAATCCAGATTTTCCAACTCACTGGCCATCCATCACATTGTACTGCTGTGCTCTCATAGGTCACTCCATGTGGACCTACACTTATTTTACAAGGGAAGCTTTGATTGTGGCAATTACCCCAGGGATAGTCCTCTGAACTGAATTTTTTCAGAGTCAAAAATGGGAGTGATCTCTGAGCTCATCTCATCTAACTTCCCAGTGCAGGAAATTCCCTCTACAACTTTCAGGCCCATAGGTCTGTCAGCCTCTGCTTAAATGCTCCTAATGACAGGAGCCTCATTACCACGCAAGGCAGCTTTCTCCATTGCTGGCCACATCCGCAGTGGCTGGAGAAAAGACCTTACGATGAACTGAAATCCCCTGATGTGAGTCCCCCACCTTGTGATTCCTTATCTTTGCTTTTGTGGAGACACCCAGGAGTGAAGGCCCAATTCTAGCACTCTCAGCCAACGTTCAAGGATGATAATATCACACTTGAGGAAACTGAGTCAAGGCAGGGCTACCCCCGGTAGGAACAGGAGCCAGGAAACTCCAGTGGGAATTTCTGTGTTTTGGTTTTTCTTTTTTGAGACAGAGTCTCGCTCTGTTGCCCAGGCTGAAGTACAGTGGTGCAATCTCAGCTAACTGCAATCTCCGCCTCCTGGGATCAAGCGATTCTCCTGCCTCAGCCTCTCGAGTAGCTAGGATTATAGGTGTGTGCCACCATGCCCGGCTAATTTTTGTATTTTTAGCAGAGACAGGATTTCACCATGTTGGTCAGGCTGGTTTTGAACTCCTGACCTCAGGTGATCCTCCTGCCTTGGCCTCCCAAAGATTACAGGCATGAGCCACCGTGCCTGGCCTCCAGTGGGAATTTCTGTGATGCTGGAGGCTACCACATGACAGCCACCTCCAGTTTCCACAGGAGAGGTCTCTTCACTTTGACATGGCTCAGGGGTGAGCATGGTGCAGTAGGGAAGCGGTAGGCTTTGGAATCAGATGCAGATTAGTTGAAACCCTGGTCTTTGATAGGCAGTGTGGTCCGAAGCCTGCTGCTTAACCTCCCTGAGCCTCAGTTTCTTCTGATGTTTCTGTAAGGTAAAGTATAGAGCCCTGACGTCCCGCCGTACTGCCGGTGGAGCCATTCTCCCTGTCGTTTGTGGTGGGAGGGAGGGCTCAGAGCCCGCTGTAAATCCATCCTTCATTCAGTGCTGTCCGCTGGCATCTTAACCTGCCATCTCTCTACAGTACTTCCGTGGGGAGTTTCCCATCAGGAGAGGGCAGCGACCAGGGTCCCTGGACGCCCACTCAGCCTTTATTGGAGTCTGGCTTCCGCTCCAGCAGCCTGGGACAGCCCAGCCCATCCGCCCAGAGAAACTACCAGAGATCTTCTCCCCTCCCGACTGTGGGCAGCAGCTACAGCAGCCCTGACTACTCACTGCAGCAATTCAGCTCCTCTCCGGAAAGCCAGGCCCCAGCTCAGTTCAGCGTGGCTGGTGTCCACACAGTGCCTGGGAGCCCTCAGGCACGCCACAGAACAGTGGGCACCAACACTCCCCCCAGTCCTGGCTTTGGCCGCCGGGCCATCAACCCCAGCATGGCTGCCCCCAGCAGTCCCAGTTTGAGCCATCGCCAGGTGATGGGTCCACCAGGCACTGGCTTCCAAGGTAGCACGGTCTCCAGCCCCCAGAGCAGTGCCCCGACCACCCCGGGGAGCCCCAGCCTGGGTCGGCACCCAGCTGGGACCCAACAGGTTTCTGGCCTCCACAACAATGTGGCCACCACCCCAGGGAGTCCCAGCCTGGGCCGGCACCCTGGGGCTCACCAAGGCAATCTGGCCTCTGGTCTCCATGGCAATGCGATAGCCAGTCCTGGAAGCCCCAACCTGGGCCGGCACCTGGGAGGGTCTGGATCTGTGGTTCCCGGCAGCCCCTGCTTGGACAGGCATGTGGCCTATGGTGGCTACTCCATCCCCGAGGACCGGAGACCCACACTGTCCCGGCAGAGCAGTGCCTCTGGCTACCAGGCTCCTTCCACGCCCTCCTTCCCCGTTACCCCTGCCTACTACCCTGGCCTGAGCAGCCCCACCGCCTCCCCGTCGCCGGACTCATCAGCCTTCCGGCAAGGGAGCCCAACACCAGCCTTGCCAGAGAAGCGAAGGATGTCGGTGGGAGACCGGGCAGGCAGCCTCCCTAACTATGCCACCATCAACGGGAAGGTGTCTTCACCTGTTGCCAGCGGCATGTCCAGTCCCAGTGGGGGCAGCACCGTCTCCTTCTCCCACACTCTGCCCGACTTCTCCAAGTATTCCATGCCAGGTGGGTCTCTCCTCCTTCCATTTCCACCCTCCCGCTGATGAAGTAAGTACAAGGGTGAAGATACCTATCCCAGTCTTTGTTCTGACATTTCCTTGGCAGAAGACCTGGGGTGAATCGCTGAGTTCTGGGACTTAGTTTCTTTATCTATAGAAGGAGAGTCGGAGGTGTCCTCACAGTAAGTGTGCTGTGGTTGTGGATGCTGAGATGAGGATGCCAATACAGATGAGGATGATAAAAATAATAATGATGAATAGTATTACTGCTATGATTATCATTACCCTCATAGCCATTACCACTTGTTGAGCACATACTGTGTGCCAGGCTCTGAGCTAAGTAGTATCTCATTTAAGCTTCTTGGCCACTTGGTCAAGTAGGTATTAATATTATTAACCCTGGTTTACAAACTGAGGCTTAGAGGCTCTGTTACTTATCTAGTATCACTCAGTCAAGAAACGGCAGAGCCAGGTTTCTAATCCAGGCCACGCCACCCCAAAACAAATGCTCTTCAAGCATCACTGGAGTTGTCTTTATCATGTGTCCATATCGTGGGGGTCATTGTTATTTAGCATGACCTTGAAAACCTGCCTTCCAAACCTGGAACCCCATACCTTTGTCAGCCCCATGGTGCCACATCACTCCTAATAGACCCAGCTCTACTGAAGCTCATGCAGGTTTGTGCAGTGAATTCTTTGCCCATGGCCAGAGCTTGCCACATTTGCCTCCACTTAAGAGAGCTCATTGTCTAAACACAAAGGCCAAGCTCAAACTTGACTGTGTGCACAGTGGCCCTGGGGCCTTGACATTTGAGGTGATTTAGAATGTTTTGGGCCCCAGCTGTCCAGATTCTCCCTGTATCACTCTCAGGCCCTGCCCTGAGCCTGCCAAGCTGGGACACCTAGAATGACCCTGCACCCCCTGTTTCCTGCCGCCCACCAGGGACATCTGGTTCCCAGCCCCTCTCCTTGAAGGATGCAAAACTTCTAGTAGTTGGGATGCTTCCTGTTTCCCACCATCTTCTCTGCTTAAAATAGCCTTTGGAGTCAACACAGGAAGGCACGTGGGACTGCAGCCGCCTCTGACAGCTCATTAAACAGGCCTCGCAGCAGTGGGGCCTGGGGCTTCGGACAGAGAATGGCAGCTTGCAGCAGTTGCACGACCCAGCTGCCTAACCCAGAGACTTTCTTCAGCACACAGCTGCCAGGAAAGGGAACTGACCTCTCCCCTCACTCTCGCCCAGAGACAGATCCCAGAAGCATAAGGGAGTGTCAATCAAAGGCTGAAATTGACTAAGCCCTGGAGACACAACCTGTGTCTCCGGATCCGCTCTCTTAACTTGATAGCATCTTTAGTGCCGGCTTCTGTTTCTGAAGGCAGGAGAGGAAAAATGTGGAATCCTCATCTTTTCCTATTCCTTATCCACTATGTTTTTTTGTTTTCTTTGATGCCAAAAGCTGAAGGAAGAGGTTGAGAGTGAGGGCCGCACTTCCTGATGCTTAGACAGGAAGATACGTTTAGCTGGTGCTACACTGGTTGCTGGGGCCTCTTCCCACACGCACCATCTGTGTGACTTGGGAAAGTCACTTCTCATCTCTGAATTTCTCCTTATTTGTAAAATTAGGCAGTTGGATTCTGTCCTGTCTCAGCTCCCTCCAGAATCTAATAATCTAATGTTCTATGACCAGTTCCCAAGGTCTGCAAAGAGTCTGGGCATGGGTGTGTGTGGGGTGCTGCCTGCCTGAGGAGTGGGGTGCCTGACGTGCATAGATGGCCTGTAGATTCTAGGCCCGCCATCACCTGTTTGAATCAAAGGGAAGTGATTGTTTGACCCGTGTGATGCAGAACACAGCTTTTCCCTGTGGGAAGTGAGGAGGGGCCTGGGGAAAAGGGCGCAGAAATGGATCTTTCTGTCCTCATCTTCATGGTGCGTATGCTGAAGTTGAGAAACTGAACCTGTGGAGAAAGGTTCTAGAAGCAAGTGTTTTAGCCCATGGGAGAGAACCTGTGGGAAGGGTTTAGTCACAGTCTTCTAGGGAAAGGGGGACATAGGGTAGAGGAAGGTTTTGGTAGGCTCTGTGAGAATGCAGTGCCAGCCCCTCCCCTAGGAGGCAGCTCAGCCACCCAGATGGCTGGCAGGGGGTAGGGATGGATGAAGAGGTTGAAGGTTCCTTCCACTGTGCTCTCACAGTGTGCGAGGACATCAGCTTTTGATGTCAGTTTCCTGGGGCTGCCATAACAAAGGACCATGTGCTTTGTGGCTTAAAAATGACCGAAATGTGTTCTCCCACAGTTCTGGAGTCTAGAAGTCCAGAATCAAGGTGTTGGCGAGGTTGGCTCCTTCCTGAGGCTCTGGGGAGAATCTTTCCCAGGCCTCTCTCCCAGTTTCTTGTGGCTGCCAGCATCGTTGATGTCCCTTGGCTTGTAGACATGTCACCCCAGTCTCTGCCTGCTCCTTCCATGGTCTCTCCCCGAGCGTCTGTCTCCTCTCCTTGTAAGAACACCAGGCCTGCAGGCATCCTGGATTAAGGCCCACCCTAATCCTACATGACCTCATCTTAATCTGCAAAGACCCTAATTCTAAATAAGGTCAAATTCACAGGCACTGGGGGTCAGGACTTTGATGTATATTTTGGTGAACACAAAGTAACCCATAACACTTTGTATTCTTCTCCTGCTTTAGACAACAGCCCGGAGACACGGGCTAAAGTGAAGTTTGTCCAGGACACTTCTAAGTATTGGTACAAACCTGAGATCTCCAGGGAGCAGGGTGAGTGTGGGGCTCTTTGTCCATCAGAGGTCGTAGCTGGCTGAGGCCTGCTGTGTCTTCCTGGGGCAAGGAACAGAGGCAAATTCACTCCTCTTTGTAGTAGGGGGTCATCACAGAGGGGGCTGGGGTTGAAGTTGCACAATATGAAGCACTTCTTCCAGTGAAGTGTGGAACCGCAGAAGCAGTGGATGTAGACACCTCTTGGAAGGATTCTTAAGGTCTGCCAAGATAATATGAAACCTTTGCTCTCTGTCTGCCTGATGTGGGAGGTTTTTGCATTTTACAGAGAGAATAAAGTTGGGAATGTGGGAGTGATTCTCAGGGGAAGCGTGTGTGGGTATGGGACAGGGTCGGCAGCGACAGCCCCTGGGTCAAATCTGGATGCTGCCTGCTTTTGTAAATGAAGCTTTGTTGGGACGCACCCACACCTGCTGGCTTGCTTCCTGTCTGTGCTGCCGTCCTGCTGCAGTGGCACAGTGGAGTGGCTGCAGCAGAGGCTGCATGGCCTGAAAAGCCTGAAATATTTACTCTCTGGCCATTTACAGAGTGTGTTTGCTAGCCGGGTGTCATGGCACACACCTGTAATCCCAGCACTTTGCAAGGCCAAGGCAGGGGATCACCTGGGGCCAGGAGTTCAAGACCAGCCAGGGCAATATAGCGAGATACTGAATCTACAAAAAACAAAAAGAAAAGAATTATTCAGGCCTAATGGTGCATGCTGAACAGTGGCCTGTGGTCCCAGCTACTCAAGAAGCTGAGGCAGGAGGATTACTCGAGCCCAGGAGGTCAAAGCTGCAGTGAGCCATGATTGTGCTATTGCACGCCAGCTTGAGTGACAGAGTGAGGCCTGGTCTCACAAAAACAAACCAAAAATCCCAACAGAATGAGTTTGCCAACCTGAGTACAGGAAGATACTTAAGAATAGTTAAGTTCTAACTTTAAAGAATATCATCTCACCTAAGAAAGAATGAAGGTTGATAGGCCCAATGCAACTTAAGTAAAACTAATGCCACCAATGTCTTGCTTCCTCTTCTCTCCTCGTCCCTTCCCCATGCAGCCATTGCACTCCTCAAGGACCAGGAGCCAGGGGCCTTCATCATCCGTGACAGTCACTCCTTCCGAGGCGCCTATGGGCTGGCCATGAAGGTGTCTTCACCACCTCCAACCATCATGCAGCAGAATAAAAAAGGTAACCTCATCTCCCAGAATGGGGCCCAGGACCAGGTGACCTTTATAGTCACTAAAAGGGACCCAGGATGTCTAACCCCCATCAGACTCCTCAGAAGAGCGAGTCTTGGGCTTGGCGATGGTTGGGTCAGAGACGGGAAAGCAGGACATTTAGGTGCCTGCCGTGTGCTTCCTGAGGGGCGGGAGAGCAGCAGTGGGCTCTGCAGTCTGTGGGCTCCAGCCATGTTCTCTCTTCGGCCATTTCTCGCATCCTGGCCCCACACGCTGCAGAGGTTTCAAAGCAGTCTTGGGAGGTGGTGGGAGGAAGCCATGGGAAGGGACTGAGCCTCATTTCTTTCTCTTTGTCCCAGGAGACATCACCCATGAGCTGGTCAGGCATTTTCTGATAGAGACCGGCCCCAGAGGAGTCAAGCTCAAGGGCTGCCCTAACGAGCCGAATTTCGGTGAGCTGTCCCCCTGCCCCCGTCTCTACAGTCTGTCCTGATTCTTGGCCCTATCCTGGGTTCCTCCAGGGGTCTGACCCCAAGTTCTTTCTCACAGGCTCTGCCAGTTACCCTTGTCATAAATTCAGCAGAGAAAATGAATGGGGCTTCCCTCCCTTTGCAGGGTGGCTCCAAACTCTGCCAAACTGTGTTCTGTATTTGTCCTGCCCAGCTGGGACATTATATCATTATAACTGGAGTAATAATTCGAGTACCCACTGCCTTAATTGACCACCTCCCATGTGAATGTCACTGCCTAAGCACCTTATATCACATCTGGCCTCACAGCCTTCGTGTTTGGTAGGGGTTATCCTCCCTATTTTACACGTGAGGAAATGAGGGTCATCAAAGTCACACTTAGCTGAAAACCCGCAGGTGAGAAGTGACTGAGCTGGGATTGGATCTCACAATTCTCTGATCCTTCTGCCCTGTTCTCAGAGGAGCCCCAGGAACTGGGGCGAGTTAGGAGAGATGTTAGGAGGAACTTTCTAGAAAGGAAACTTGTTATGTAACTTTATGACTGCTGCAGTGAGCCTTGGGAATCTTCTCTGTTGGATCTTGTGAAACAAGAGGGGGTGACTTTTCAGCTTTGTTGGTGGTTGAAATAGAGGTAACAAAGAAGTGGAAGATTGTATGTATGGGGTAAGGGTGGAGGTGGAGGTTTTCCCCCTGGCTTCCAGTATGCTGCCTCTGACATGCCATCTCCCTCCCCACAGGATCTCTGTCTGCCCTGGTCTACCAGCACTCCATCATCCCATTGGCCCTGCCTTGCAAGCTGGTCATTCCAAACCGAGGTAGGAACGTGAGACTCCTGGCTCACCACCCACACCCTTGAGCTGGCTCCTATCATGTCTTGGTGCTGCCAGCCACTCCGGACATGAGCCAGGGCTGGAGGACACATGTCATTTTGCCCATCTGGAGAAACTCAAAACTACTTTCCTTTTTTTTACTATTAAAAAAGAAAAAAATTATGAAAAAGCTTAACTTCAGGAACACACATAAATGGACATGCCAGATTGTCCAGGAAAATCCTCTGGAGGCTTTAAGAAATTCATACAGAATCCTCAGACCACATGTCATCCCAGGGATGACAGGAGACAGAAGTAGGGGACAGGAGACATGTCCTGGAGGATGATACGGGCATCCGGGGAAGAGAGCAGGGAGGCAGACTGAGGTGTTGGGGGCTTGGTCTGGATGGAAAGGAGAGAGCAGCCTCAGGAAAGGGAAGACAGCGCCTAGATGTCACTGGAGTTTCTAATCTATGTGCTGGGAGGGTGATCCCTGACCGAGGGGATGCTGAACTGTTAGGGAAAAGCAAGTCCTCTTCTGATAGTGGGAAGTTGGAAGGGACTCCAAGAGCATGAGGACATTCAGGGTGAGAATTTGAGTGAGATGGTAGGGCTGGGGAAGGGGTGTTTCGCTTCTCTCATGGAGGTGTGCCAGCCCTGGAGTTCGGCAGGTGAGCACCTAGAACTCCTCCCAGCATAGGCCTCTACTGCCAGCCCTCAGCAACACGGGGCCCACCGGAGGGCCATTATGCCTCACACCCGGTGCAAGGCCTCAGAACTGGGAGCTGGGCTGCCTTCTCTCCACTCTCTTTGTTCAACAATGGGAACTTCAGAAGCGCCCCCAGGATGTGACCCTGGGATTTTTCCTAGTCCTTCTTGGAGCTCCTGGGGTTATGCCCACACATTACATCTCCAGTATTTTTCCACATTTTCTATTTATCGAATTCAGTTCATTGAATTATTAATGATAACTGACCAACACTATTAGTTTATAAGTTCAAATACAACTGAAATAGCACTATTAACCAATGACATAATTCAGACATGAATTGAATTATAGTCCTGTGGAATGTACGACAGTAGTTCAGCAATTGAAAAACGGTTTAATATTTAGATTATATCAAAGTATGGGCCTAGATCAGCAGCGTCAGCATCTCCCGGGAACTTGTTAAACATGCAAATACTGGCTGGGCATGGTGGCTCACGCCTATAATTTCAGAATTTTGGGAGACTGAGGTAGAAGGACTGCTGCAGAGCAGTCAGGAAGTGACTGCTTATTGAAATGAGGAGTTCAAGACCAGCCTGGATGACATCAGACATCCCTGTTTCTACAAAAGAGTTTAAAAATGACTCTTTCTTAAAAAAATGGTGGCTCATGCCTGTAGCCCCAGCTACTCTGGAGACTAATGTGGGAGAATCTGCTAGAGCCTGGGAGTTTGAGGCTTCAGTGAGCTGTGATCACACCACTGTACTCCAGCCTGGGTGACAGAGTGGGATCCTGTCTCAAAAAAAAAAAAAATTATATACCATGTACCATGTGATGTTTTGACAAATGCACACATTGTGAGTTAAATCAAGCTAATATGCCCATCATTCAATTCTTATTAATATTGAAATTAGAGTTATGCTGGATCAATGGTTTAATGAATTAAGGGAATTAGGGCATTTATTGACCTACACAAAGAGATATCAATGCAAAACAGTAACAGCAATACCAGTTACCACTTGAAGGCTTGCATTATGTTAAGTACTGGCTAAGCTGTACACAGAGTCTCTCAAAAACCCAGTGACGTGTGTACCATGATCATTGTCATTGTTTTATAGATGCTTAGTACGTGCTGGTGTGAGGGTTTGAGCCCAGTGATGCTGGACTCCAGAGCTCTCAACCAGTGTGCTGGCTGCTTAGAGCAATCATCAAACGTTCAGACTGAGCCTAACTGCCAGGGCCTGGTATGAAAAGCAGCGTCCCTTGTATCAATACTTGCAGAGCTCCCCTTCAGCCCGGCCAAACTTGTGCTTCTAATTCCAACTGAATTTTTGTCTCAGACCCCACAGATGAATCGAAAGATAGCTCTGGCCCTGCCAGCTCAACTGCAGACCTGCTGAAGCAAGGGGCAGGTGAGTGGTCCCCTGAAACTGGACCCATGCCCAGGCCTTCATTTCTGCCTTCCTGCCCTGACCCCTCCTGCAGGTATGGGCTGGAGGTCTCTCCAGGCCCAAATGTCTCCGGGAAGATCATATTTCTATGTGCAGATGCCTTGGATCAAGGCTAGCCTGAAATTTCTCTGCTACCTTCTCCCTGAAGAATGGATGTGGGTTAATGTCTTCACCCACCCCATCTCCCGTGACTCCCCCTTCGGTTGGTTTCTTCCAGCCTGCAATGTACTCTTTGTCAACTCTGTGGACATGGAGTCTCTCACTGGGCCACAGGCCATCTCCAAAGCCACATCTGAGACATTGGCTGCAGACCCCACGCCAGCTGCCACCATCGTTCACTTCAAAGTCTCTGCCCAGGGAATCACTCTGACTGACAACCAGAGAAAGTAAGACTCTTCTGCCTGCTCCTGAGTGGGGTTCTCCTTCCTGTGACCCATCTATTCATCCATGTACCCGCCCATTTACCAACTGATTAATTCTTTGCACCCAGCAGCTCATCTACCCTCCCGTCTGTCTGTCTTGCATCTACCTCCCATATACCCAGCTACTTATCCATCCATCCCTCCATCCATCCGTCCATCCATCCATCTATCCATCCATCCGTCCATCCATCTGTCCATGCATCCGTTCATTCATCCGTCCGTCCATCCATCCATCCATCCATCCATCCATCCATCCATCCATCCATGCATCTATCAATCCATCCTTCCATGCATCTATCCATCTATCCATCCCTGCATTTATTCATACCTCATCTCTTCATGGCCACCTATTTGTCCCTCCATCCATCTATATCTCCACTCATCTATCCATCCACCCATTCATTCATCCCTCTATGAGAATTTGCCAGCACTGGGTATACAGCTGTAAATACAACTGATCAAAAGGACCTGCTTTCTTGGAGCAGAGCTCATCCACTTGGAGGGTTCCTGGCTTCTTTGCTTCCTTTTCCAGCCCCTCTCCACATTTCTAATTCCTCAGTGCCAGTTTCTCCCTTCCCCAGCCCCTAGCATTTGGGATGCTTCTATGGCACATCTGTCTCTGTACATTGCTTAGGTCACCAGTGTCAGCAGCTCAGGCCATCTTGCTCATAAGAGAGAGGTTGTATGGACCTGTGACAGCCACAGATGGTGGGAAGGTGGCCTGACCTGCTGGTGGAAGAAGGGGAAAAGCAGCCCCTTCAGCACTCATTCTCTTTTATCTGACGTCTGTGCTGCAGGCTCTTCTTCAGACGCCACTACCCCCTCAACACTGTCACCTTCTGTGATCTGGATCCCCAGGAAAGAAAGTAAGTCTCTTGCATACAGCTTCCCTCCCACACAGCTAACACTGAAGACTGTGTGTGTGCATGTGTGTGTGTGTGTGTGTGTGTGTACATTCTCCATTCAGCTGGAAGGTCTACCCATGTGTGAGTAATCGTGCTGGGCATCCTTTGAGTCTTTCCCACTATAGATATGGAGACCCTCCTAGGCACTCAGTGCCCACTGTCACCCCCTCTGCTATGACCTGACCCTGAATCTGCCTCTCCTCTCCACCAGGGGGAGAGCACATGGAGGCAGGCTGCAGTGCTCTCTCCACCTTGAATACATCTCTGTGTGATCCTGTGTATCTCCTGTCCTCTGGGAATGGGGGCTCCCCTGACTTCCTGCAGAGGGTCTGGGTGTGGGTGGGGCTGGACTCTAGGGAGAAAGTATAGTGATTTACCCCGAGCCCACTTTCTTTCCACAGGTGGACAAAAACAGAGGGCGGCGCCCCTGCTAAGTAAGTGTGACTTCTTACCCCCACCCAGCAGGCTGGCCTCTGTATTTCACAAGGAGGGAAGCATGGGGCAGATTTAGAATCCAGAGCTGTCGGTAGGGAAAGGGCAGCAAAAACCTTTGTGCCAAGGTCACTCGGCTTTCAAGTGAAGCTTGACCAGGCATCTAGGCCTTTTGCCTCATCCTGCCATGAGGCCAGAGGCCCAGCCTCTGGTCCAGCCACCTTCATTCACCCAGGATCAGAAGCAGCAGTGGTGCCAGGCAGTGGACAGAAAACAGAGTCTTATTAGAAGCAATGGAAGTGGGGCAGGATTGTTTACGTGATCTTTTCTGCCCACTTTCTAGCTGCCTTTGTTCCTGTTCTTGCTTTTTTGGTGGGCTCTTCTGCGAGTCTTGTGGCTGAGCGAGACAGCCTTATCAGAGTGTGGGAGCCCAGGAGGTCTGAATTCTAGGGATGGCCCTGGGACCTTTGGGTGGATTCCTCCATCCAGTGGACATGTTCTAAGGGCCTCCAAGGAACTCAGCTCCTGCCTGGGTCTCTGGCCCTGCCCTCAGGAGGCCCATTGGCACAGCAGATAAGACAAGTGTCTAAACAGCACTAAGATGCTTCTTAGTGATTTTTGAACTGTTTCAAGGATCCTGTCATCCTTGGATCGCACGTGGTGTTCAGAAGGGAGGGAAACCTTGGCTGCTCCTTGCAGTTGTCTATAAGTAGGAACTAGGGTTTTCTCACAGTTACAAAAGCAAAACAAAATACAGGCATAACCTGGGTTCTGAAGCTGATATGAGGCTGTCACTATGGTCTGTCTTCCATGTTTCACTTTGTCAGGCTTATTTCAACAGCTCTGTTATCCTCACTGATTGACTTTATAATAGGTAAATGTCACGCTTTTGGATGGATATGTTTATAGCTGTAAAATACTGCTTTCACCTTGATATATGCAGACTTCAAGGTTGCTTTAGAAAAACAAAATGTTCACCGTTAAAAAATGACAGTTTCAGGGGAGGGGAGAGGTGGCAAGAGAGTTCAGCTCACCTCCGGGGTGCTCATGCAGGAGAACACATCAGCATCTAGAGAGTGGGAAAGAGCAAACATTTAAGGATGAGTCTTCGATTTGGAAAGGCCAAAATGAGAATGGGAGTAGGAGAGGGTATTTCAGGGTAGGGGCCTCATGGCTACCAGACCGCAGGCTCCCCAAGGACCGGGTCATGTCTGGTACATTGTGAGGCTGGTAAATATTTGTTGAGTGAAGAAATGAGAGAATGGAGGCTGGAAGAACAGAGGCAAGAGGAGGCTGGTGCAGATGCCTCAGTCTGAATGAATGGACTGACTAGTCTCTTGCATGGTCAGTGATAGTGGCTTAGGAGAGGCCATGTGGGATGGTGGGGCTCAGCCTTGTCCAGGCATCATAGGGTCATCAATGCTTCGAGTCCCTGCGTCCCCTGTGTCTCTGCTGGCCTTGGCAGCAGGTGGGAACTTTGTGTCTGAAGGTGCTTGTGCTCACTCACCACAGGGTCCTGCGAGTGGAGAGGGTCAGAAATAGAAGAGAGCTGGGCCCCCAAGCTGGAAATCCTTTTCCTCCTTCAGGAGCTGGTTTTGAGCTGAGCCTCCTGCTGAAGAGGCTTTGATGGGTGGGGCAGAGGCCACAGGGAGAGACTGAGGCAGGGCAGTCGACTGACAGGGAATTATGACAGGGATGAGGTGAGGCCACCCAGGGCCTCAGGTGCAACATTCAAGGTGTTAGATCCCGGGATCTTGCAAGTGCTTCCTCCCTGCCCTTGGGGCTGAGGCTTCTTGCCTAGATCTCCTCCTCGAGGCAGATGGCAGGACTGGGCTATCGTGGGACCCTTAGAGCCACAGCTGAAAGAAGTATCAGGATAGCAGGCTTGGCATTCTAGTCAGGTGCAATTGCCAGGTCTCCATCCTGGTGGACACCCGCAGCCAGGCCTGGCATGCTTCTTCCCTCTGCTGGGATCACCCCCACCCCTTCTAAGGGTCCAAGCCAGCCGGGAAAGGGCAGTGCTGGGGGCTGCCCTGTGGGCCCAGTTCCCCCACTACCTGGGCATTACTCCAACCTTTTGCACTGTTGCTCCCGGCCCCTGAAACAAGACTGGGGAGCAGAGCTGTAGGGAATGCAGGATTGTGTGTGTGTGTGTGTGTGTGTGTGTATGTCGGTGTGCATGTTGTGTGTGGTGTGTACATGTGTATATGTGTGATCTGTATATATATGTATGCATGGCTTGTGTGGTACGTGTGTGTGGTGATATGTTTGTGGTGTGTGTGGTGGTGTGTGGTGTGTGCAGTGGTGTGTGGTGTGTGTGTGGTGTGTATGTGTGTGGTGTGTGCATGCAGTGGTGTGTGTGATGGTGTATGTGTGTGGTGGTGTGTAGTGTTGTGGTATGTGTGTGGTGGTGTGTGTGGTATGTGGTGTGTATGTGTGTGGTGGTGTGTGGATGGTGTCTGTGTGGTGGTGTGTGTGATGGTGTATATGTGGTGTGTGGGGTGTGTACAGTGGTGTGTGGTGATGTGTGTGGTGGTATGTGTGTGAGTGTGGTGTTATGTGTGTGTGGTGTTATGTGTGGTGTGTGGTGTGTATATATGTGGTGGTGTGTGTGGTGGTATGTGTATGTCGTGGTTTGTGTGGTGTGTGTGTATAGTGGTATGTATGTGGTGTGTGTGTGGTATTACGTGTGGCATGTGCAGTGGTGTGTGGTGTGTATGTGGTTGTGTGCGTGGTGTGTGTGTGGTGTGTATGTGTGTGGTGTGTGCATGCAGTGTTTAATGGTGTGTGTATGTGGTGGTATGTGTGTGGTGTGTGTGGTAGTGTGTATGTGGTTTGTATGTGTGGTATATGTGATGATGTGTGTGTGGTAGTGTGTGGTGGTGTTTATATATGTGTGGTAGTATGTGTGTGATGGTGTGTGTGTGTGGTGGCATGTGTGTGATGGTGTGAATGTGTGGTGTGTATGTATGTGGTGGTGTGTGCATCTACATGTGTGGTGGCATGTGTGTGATGGTGTATATGTGTATGGTGGTGTGTATGTGGTGGTGTGCGTGGTGTGTATGCATGTGGTGGCATGTGTGATGGTGTGTGTGTGTGGTGGTATGTGATGCGTGTGTGGTGGTTGTGGAGGTGTGTGGTGGTGTGTATGTGTGGTAGTATGTGTGTGATGGTATGTGTGGTGGCGTGTGTGTGGTGTATACATGTATGGTGGTGTGTATGTATGTAGTGGTGTGTGTGATGTGTATGCATGTGATGGTGTGTATGTGTGTGGTGGTATGTGGTGTGTATGTGATGTGTGGAAGTGTGTGGTGGTGGTGTGTGTGGTGGTGTGTCGTGTGTATGTGTGGTAGTATGTGTGTGATGGTATGTGTGTGGTGTGTATGTTGTTGCGTGTGTGTGTATGTGTGGTGATGTGTACACAAAGGCACACAGAGCAACCAGTAGAATCCCCCTGGGCTAACTTTAGCTGCGTGGTCCTGCTGTAAGGAGAGGGGTTTCCATTAGAATCTCCAGCTGTCCTGATTTCCCCATCTAGCTCTAAATAGCAACATGCGGGCTGGGAGGGGACCTGAGCTCACATTCTGTTCTCTGCCCTCATATTTTTAACTCTGTTTTGCAAAGAGAGAATGCTGGGTCACTCCAGTCCTGTGGGTGGAGGTGGGGGACGGGTGTGGGGTCCACCTTCCCTTTTTATTCTCTGGCTTCCAAGGCTCTTGAGCCCAGGAAGAATCAGTGTGTGTGTGGAGGGGTGTGAGCTACTTGTCCTTTCTCTCCCTGACCTTGTGGTGTCTGAGGAGGCCAAGCACTTTGCAGGCAGACTGCACTTTCCTGATTGGCTTATGTGTTGTGTGTAAGAACAGTCAGTAGGGGTGGAGCTGGAGTGGGCGGGGACAGGCCTGTCCAGGAATGTTCCCATTTTATTTTGGTCTCCTCCCCACCCTCACTATCCAGCCTTGCCAGTCCCTTACAGCTCCCCTTGCACCTCTCCAAGGGGGATTTCTGCCCTCCCTTAAGCAAGGCAGGACACTGTCTCGAGGCCTTGGCTTTGTGGTCAGCGGAGTGCACAGAGGATTCTCTTCTATGCCTCCCGAAGTCTGTGATGCTGAGGTCTTCTGGCGGGATGGGGGAGAGAGTTTGGTCTGAGACCAGCTTGCTCACCCGGGCTGCTGTCCACCTCCTGGGGTTCCGCTTGCCCTCCCCTCACGGCGTTGCCCTCTCCCACTGCAGGCTCTTTGGCTTCGTGGCCCGGAAGCAGGGCAGCACCACGGACAACGCCTGCCACCTCTTTGCTGAGCTCGACCCCAACCAGCCCGCCTCTGCCATCGTCAACTTCGTCTCCAAGGTCATGCTGAACGCCAGCCAAAAGAGATGAACCCTGCCTCTTGCCCAGGGCCAGTGCCGTGGGGAAGGGGCACGTGGGGAGGGGACCCATGAATCCTGACCGCTCTTGAACCCAGAAAGAGGACTTTGGGCCAATTTTGGAGGAGAGAAGAAAGTGCAATGTGGGGAGAGGGAAGTGAATTGTAAAGGGGAGGGGGAAGAGAGAGAGAGAAAGAGAGAAAGGAAAAGATGGAGGAGAAGAACTTGGATTCCCCTGGGTGGATGGAAACTGCAAAAACCCAAAGCCTCCAAAACTAACCAGGTCTACCTAACACCCCCTCCTCCCCCGAGAAGATGGATGTCCTCAAAAGAGAAGGAACAAGCCTCCTTGGGGAGCCACATTTTCAGAGAAATGGAAAAGCTCTGTCTCCCTAACCCAATGCTTTCCAAGGGGAGATCAGGCTTGGGGGAATCTTTTTCTGGCCACCTGTAGGGTAGGTTGTGACACCAAACAGAGCCACCGTGGGACATCAAGTGGCAGAACTTATTCTCTTGAAAGTATCTCAGACCCAAGGCACCTCAGGTCTCTTTGCCGTGCCTCCGCTGTATTGCCGTGTGGGGGTGTGTGTGTCCCCACCCACATCCTTAAACATTGATGTAGATGCCTCTATCCACTAGAATTATAAACAGCCCGGCTTGTCCATGTCCCATGTGTTTGTAGACACACATGCATACTGTCCAAAGATTAGGGCTGGCAGTGGCAGGGCAGCAGGGGAGGGACAGAAACCCTCCTCTGAACGAGCCACCAAGCTATGGGAGACAGGGGCTCTCTCCTGGTGCCTGCACCTGCACTCTAGTGACCTTGGGTGCTGCCATCCCCTTCTCCTCTACAAAGACCCCAGCAGGAGCGGGAGGGTCTGCAATGTCATCACCCTGTCCTTCCTTGGCCGGAAGTCTGGAGCTTTGGTTTGAGGATATAGAGATATGTGTGTCCATGGGAAGAGATCTGTCAGGACAGGTGGCTGTTGAGCTCGGGGTGTCTTCCCCAAGGTGTGTGACTCAGCAGCAAGGAAGGCACGTTGCTCCTCCTGGGGCTCTGGACTCTGCCTTAGCGCCCACCTTTCATCCCTGTTCTTGGGTTTCGTGCCCCAGGACCAGCCTTATCCCAGACCTGCTTACCTGCATGATGCCTTTCCGGAGGCTGGGGATTGAGCCTTCCTGCTCTGCCCAGCCCTGTTCTATTCTGCAGGGTCCCTATATTGGGATTCACCCTGGGGAACCTGCTTCCTGCTCAGTGAGGCTTAGGGCAGAAACCCGCAGTCCTTATCCTCCCCCTGTAAGAGCTTCGGGGTCTGGCTCTTGCAGGCACTCTCTGACATCATCAGAGCTCCTGGGGCTGCTACCTATACACCACGTGGCCTAATTACAATGCCAAAGCCTTGCTATCCTGTCGTCCCCCTTTCTGCCTTGGTTTCCCTGGCTGAGCCATGCTGCCCATGCAGCAGAGGGCAGAAGGCTTGCATTTGGGCTAAAGGGCCTGAGGTCTACTGGACAGTTGGGAAAAGACCTGACCACCATTTAAGGACTCTAAGCCAGAATGGGAAATTCACCGGGACTCCATTCTTAAGCCTATGGGGGTCTCCTAGAGAAAGGCATTGTACTGATATATAAATATTATATAATATATACATGAGACATACTGACAGAATCTGTAAGCTAATAAAATGTAAGAAAAGGTTAAAAAAAGAATAGGTAAATTGACAAGAAGTATTTATTGTTTTTCCATATTGCTTTATTACCTTCTCTGGGCATAAATCAATTCCCATCCCTTTTTATATGTATAAGTGAAGCCTGAAGTGTGGGGGCCTTTGTTCCTGGAGCAGCCAGGGCCTCCTTGCCCCGGCCTTGGCCTTCCTTAGACTGTGTGGGGGGGCGGGGTTCACTTCTTCCACCCTTTGGCCTCCTTTCTTTTCAGCAAGCCAGGGGCCCAGCAGTCAGCTCCCTGGATATGTGGGGAGCTGCCCTGTCTTGCAGGCCTGAGCGAGTACGTGAGCATGTGGGAACATGGGTGTGTATGGCACACATGGGTGTGTGTGCGCCTTTTGTATTTTTTTCTCCTCCAAGGAGCTGTGTCAGTGTGGACGTTCTGTTTCAGGGAGTTGGAAAGGAGAGTGTCTGCAGAAGGCGGGGAGCAGGGGCAGAGGCCGCACCAGTCACCCCCTGCTTCCCAGAGTGAAACCTTGTGCCTGGTGACCGAGGTCCCTCCAAAGTGCTCTTCTTTCTGAGATATTCTAGCCAAATATCTGGGTTCCCCCTCTACTGATTCCTTAGCAAACCCCAATTACCTTCCAAGATAGGAGATATTTTCCATCCCCTTCCTTTGTAAATATCTCATCTCCCACCGGACAGCCCGGCAGCCTCTTCCCGGCCCGGATGTTCTGTCCTCACTCCAGGCTGGGCGGTGGATCAGACCCTTCAAGCAGCCTGGCTGGGGCCCAGGAGTGAGTTGGGGGTCAGCTTTCACCATCACTTTCCCCTTCCTCACCACCCACTGCAGCCCACCTCACATGCATGGCCAGCTCCTCCACTCCAGCCTGAGCCGTGTGTGCCCCTGGGGGAGGACCCGTGGATGCTGGAAAGCTGGAAACTCCCTCCTAGCATCCCTGCAGGAGTCAGTTTCTGAGAGTGTGGCCTTTAAGGCGAATGATGGGGAAGAGTTCCCCAGTCCCCGCAGTGGCCCCACCTCTGGGCCCTGCACCAAAACCCTCCTGTGTCACAGGGGGCTGTGCACCCATGCACACACCTATGCACACATACCACTCCGCACTGCAGTATATTCTTGCCAAAGATTTCCTTTAAAAGAAAGCACTTTTACTAATTGTTATTTTGTGTTTCTCCTCTTCTGTCTTCTCCCTCCCTCAATAGATTTTACTGTTGTTTATTGTTGAATCTGTTTGTCAGCCAGGAGAGCGCTGTCTGGTCTGGAACATGGGCTGGGACGGGAAAGGGTCTGGGAGAAGATGGGCAAGGAAGAGCCGGGAGTCACAGCCATCGCAGCAATATAGACCCAGGCAGGTTCAGGGCTGTGCTGCCACTAACTCTCCAGCTGGGCGTCTGAGGGAAGAGGGCAGGGGAGGGTCATGTCCCATTCAGCTGGGGGAGGGGTCCAGTGAACTCCATGTGGCTGTTTCCCAGGGGTAGCAAGAGGGAAGGATTGGACGAGCAGATAATGGAGAGGGGACCTGAGAAGGAAACCCAGGAGGAAGTGAGCAGTTTGATCAGCCTGCTGTCACAGTGTCCTGGCTGTCTTATTTAGCCGTGCGTTTGAGGGACAGATACATCACGTCCTAAGTTTGGGAAAGGCCTTTGACCCATCTGAGCCTCTCCTCCAGTAGCTCTGAAAGCTATGGACGATGATGGCCAGGATTCCTTCTCCTTTGGTTTTCGAGGATCCCTGGGTGTTCTGAGACTGGCTGGAGAGGGTTGGTGGGGCCAGTGGCCGAGTGACAACAGGAGGGGGTAGCCCTCCTGCACAAGTGTGATCTCCCTATAAGGGGCTCTCAGGAAGTTGGTGAGTAGGGGATTCTGCCTTGTTCTGATGAGCTGGACAGAGGCTCTAGGGGGTCACAGAAGGGTGGCGAGTGTGAATAGATTCAGTCTCACTCCCACTTTTGTCCACCACCCCTGCTTTCTGGATCTTCTCCCCCTAATTTTTCCAGCTTTAGGACCTGGGGAGATCATGCAAGTCAAGGGAGACACCCATTCCTAACCCCACATTCAGGGTCCTCCTAGAGGTTGAGGGGGCAGAGTCCCAGAGCAGTCCTTTACCCCAGGTCCAGGCCCTGGAATCCTGAGACTCGTGTTTCCTTGGCCAGTGGTAACACAGGACGTGTATGTGTGGATGTGCAGGTGTGGCTGTATGTGTGTGCATGTGTTTTGCTCATCTCTTTAGGGAACTTGGGGGTGGGGGTTGGAGGTGCTGGGCAATGGAACTTCAAGTTCAATGTCGCCCAGTAGTGAGGGGAGTTGGGGGCAGGGCCTGTAGGGCCACCCATCAGTGGAGTCTCAGTGATGGCCCAGGTGAGGAGTGGGCCACCCAGAGGGGCAGGGTGGGGGCTTCGGGAAGATCTGTCCCTCTTGGCTCCTCTGTCTTCAAATGTCCAAAATGTTGGAGGACCTCTGTTCATATCCCATGCCGGGGCTCTTGCCAGCAGAGGAGTTCCTGTAGAGGGATGTCCCAAGCTTATTCTCCAGTCAGTGTTAAGCCATTCCAATCTCTCCTGTGTCTGTGTGTGTGTGTGTGTGTGTCTGTGTGTCTGTGTGTGTGTGTGTGTGTCTGTGTGTCTGTGTGTGTGTGTGTGTGTGAGAGAGCACATCAGTGTGTGCAGGCTGTGCTTCCCGGTTTCTCTCTTCCCTTCAGACCTGCCATTCAGAACAAATGTCAGAAATTCCTTCCCACCACCCTCCCTGCCTCCCCGGCCCTCTGCGGGAGAAACAAGATCACCCGGCATCCTCCCCCACCCCGGCTGTGTATTTATATAGATGGAAATATACTTTATATTTTGTATCATCGTGCCTATAGCCACCACCACCGTGTATAAATCCTGGTGTATGCTCCTTATCCTGGACATGAATGTATTGTACACTGACGCGTCCCCACTCCTGTACAGCTGCTTTGTTTCTTTGCTATGCATTGTATGGCTTTATAAATGATAAAGTTAAAGAAAAATCTGTGCTGTTATCTATCTGTGTTGTTTGGACAGGGGTCTGCCATGTCTCTGGTGAGCAAAAAGGGGCCTCTTCTGATAACCAGGTGGGCTTCAGCGACGCCGTTGGTGGACAGCTCAAATCCTCTCAGTGGCTCCGCCACCATCCGCACCGTGGTTCTGGTTTCGTGTGTTTATTCATTCGGACTCTTTTAGCTGGAAGAGAAACTCAACTCAAACTTGTTTAAGAAAGGAGTAGGTGTATTGGCCCAAGTGGCTGAGAAGTCCAGGCAGACCTGGATTTAAGGGCTCAAATGATAGAACAGGAATTGGTCTTCATCACTCGGTTCTGCGTTGGCTTGACTCTCAGGTAAGCTCTCTCTGAGTGGCAGTGCTTCCAGATGCTCTGGGCTTCCGTCCCACCAGCTCAGTAGCCCAGGAGAAGAGGGCTCTTTTCTCCCAATGTTCTAAGCAAGAAACTGGGACCCACATTCATTGGCTCTGATCTGAATCCTGCTGGCTCATTGTGATTATCTCAAAATCAATCACTCTATCTGGATCTGGGTCATGCGACTGCCTCTGGGGCCTTCTGAAACTACGGGGACTGAGAATGGGGAAGTGGTTGGTCCCAGAAGGAGTGAGGTCTGCCAGAGAGAGGGGGACATGGGTTGTCAGGCAGCATCTACTGGAGTTGGTGCCCATCAAGCGGCAAATGTGTGGTTCACTTGCACGCCAGGCCTGGGGCTCCTGGGTGAATTATTTGTAATTCAGAAAGTTTGGGTGTGGGACCTACTGAGGCATGCGTGGCACAGCACAGCGGTCTCTGGGAGATCCAAAATACTCAATGACATGGTGCCAGCTCTCCGCTGAGCTCACTGTGTGGCTGGAGGGAGGCTTGGGTCAGCTTCTTTGAGCAGGTTTATGGCAAGCCCTCACAGTCCTCACTGTGTAAGGCAGTCCTCTCAAACTTGTGGGTCTCGGGATTCCTTTACATTCTTAGAATTATTCAGGATCCCAAAGGACTTTTGTTTATAAGTTATATCTTTTGATCTTTATCATAGTATAAATTATAACTGAGAACATTAAAAATATTTATTAATTCACTTCCATAGCAATAAATTCATCACGTTAATATAAATAGCATTTTTGTGAAAAATAGTATTTTCTAAAACAAAATCGCTGGGTGAGAAGAGTGATTTTGCTTTGCATTATTATTATTATTGTTTGAGACTGGGTCTTGCTCTGTTGCCCAGGCTAGAGTGTGGTGGCACAATCATAGCTCACCATGGCCTCAACCTCTTGGGTTCAAGTGATGCTCCCACCTCAGCCCCTGAGGAGCTGGGACCACAGCTGTGTGCCACCACACCTGGCTAACTTAAAAAGTTTCTTTTTTGTACAAAAGAGGTTTCACTATGCTGCCCATGCTGGTCTCGAACCCCTGGGCTCAAGCAGTCCTCTCTCCTTGGCCTCCCAAAGTGCTGGGATAACCGGCGTGAGCCACCATGAGCTTTGCATTTTTTAAAGGCCGATTCATATCTGGCTTACCAGGAGACAGCTGGATTCTTCTATCAGCTTCTGCATACTCTTGCGATACCCCCCATCCTGGGCCTCTGGAACACACTGTGTACTTTTGGGAAATGAGCAAAAGAGTCACATAATGGCTTGACAGCATTATGAAAATGGTTTTGACCTCAGCACCCCTGGAAGGGTCTCAGGGACCCCTGAGGTCCCGGGATCATATTTGAAACCTGTTGCCATGAGGTATACACGACACAGGAAGCTAGTCCCCATCTATGGGGGAGGCTGAACATGTCTTGTACTCCTGCTGTCTGTTAGGTATCGTCACACGAGTCATCCCAACAAGCCCGTGAGGCACTGTTATACACAGGGACAAATAAGGAAACAGGTTTTGAGAGGTCACACACTTTCTAGCTGGCAGAGCTGGTACTCGACATCACTCCCACTGGTGAAGGCTGGCCTTCAGCCAACACCGGCAAAGTGCCGGAGCCTGTGCTCAGCGGTCAGGTGTCCTTTCTCATGCACGTGCACCTGAGACGTAAGGGCTATCCTTGTCCTCATTTCACAGATGAAGAAACTGGATTTCAAAGAGGTTAAGACACCTCCTGAAAATCACAGAGCTGGGATAAGCGGCCCAGCCAGGCTATGAACCCAGGTGAGCTGACTTCTCAGCCAGGCTCTTCCCAGCTCTTGCCTCCTGCTCTCAGGGCTGGCTTTCAAAGGGAGAGACAGATGAGCCATGGGCAAGTGGGAAGCCAAACTGATGTCACTGGTCAGATAGGAGGTCATGGGCTAGGCTGTAGGCTGGCTTCCCAGAGAGTGGACCAGGGATCCTGGGTGTGTGATGGGGAAGGTCAGGAGGTCATCCCCTGACACTGCCCAGCTGTGGAGGGATGTAGGAAAGGTTGGGTGGGCCTGGTCCAGGGAGGAGTGTGATGAGAGACAAGCTAGAGCCTGTGAGCTGAGCTGATGCGGTGGCTTTTGAGGGGCCTCAGTAGTGAGGTGGCTTTGCTCCTGGTTCCCCAAAGAGAAGGAAGTGGACAGGGCTGCAATGGAGGGCTCTGGGTGAAGAAGGGCAGCTCTCCCGACACACCTTATCATACAGAAGACCCAAAAGACCTTTACATTTCCTTCCTTCCTTCTTTCTTGCTTTCTTTCTTTTTCTTTCTCTCTCCTTTTTGCTTCCTCCTTCCCATCTCTCCTTCCTTCCTCCCTCCCTCCTTTCTTTCTCTCTTTCTTTCTTTCTTTCTCTCTTTCTCTCCTTCCCTCCCTCCCTCCTTCCTTTCTTCCTTTCTTTCTTTTCTTCCTTCTTTCCTTCTTTCTTTTGACAGAGTCTAACTCCGTCACATAGGCTGGGGTGCAATGGTGTGATCTTGGCTCACTGCAACCTCTGCCTCTCAGGTTTAAGAGATTCTTTTGCCTCCGCCTCCTGAGTAGCTGGGATTACAGGTGCCCGCCACCACACGCAGCTATTTTTAGTAGAGATGGTGTTTCACCATGTTGGCCAAGCTAGTCTTGAACTCCTGACTTCAGGTGATCCATCTGCCTCATCCTCCCACAGTGCTGGGATTACAGTTGTGAGCCACTGCGTCTGGCCAGCTTTGCATTTTCTATGCAGCGTGTGGGCCCTGCACCACTGGCTTTGGCACCGCCTGGTGCTTATAGGAAAGACAGGACTGCTGGCCTCACCCCAGGCCTGCAGCTCAGAATCTTCATGTTAGCCAGATCCCCAGGAAATCTGTGTAAATGCTAAAATTCAAGCTGCTTGGGTGTGTATCTCATGCTGACACTAGACCAGGCTGAGATGCTCAGCCCTGGGCTCTGCCTCAGCACCACCTGAAAGGTGAGGACCCAGTTTGGGTCTCCACGGGGAAAAAGCGATCCTTGACCTCACCTTGGGGGCCTGCCTTATTGATGAGATTCTGGAATCTCTGCTGCCTGGGGCAGGTGGAGGCCAGATAGGGACCAGGCCTGTCCTGATGAGCAGGATAATTCTGGTTGCACCGGGTGTGCAGGGTGTGAAGAGTCCAGCTTTGGAAGAGGCAAGAACATCAGCAGGGGCACAGGAGGGGCAGAGGGATGGAGGCTAGGAGGCTCTTTCTTGTCCTCAAGCTCGGCTGGAAAGTGCTGAAGCCTGGGCTCCACCCCAGAGATTCTGGGTGGGTCAGTCTGCGGTGCAGCCTAGGCAGTGGGAATTTTTACCACTCCCAGGGAACTCTGTGTGCAGCCCAGGCTGAAAGCCACTAGGGAAGCTCTCCTTGATTGGCTTCTTCTAGGTCCAGGGTGTGTGTGTAGGCCCATGGGCACCTGTGCTGGGACGTGTAGGGGGCTGAGGAGGGGAGGAAGTCACAGTGGGAAGAGGTCCCCTCTGGACTGGCTTCAACCCCGCCTCTCTGTTTTTGGCAGGTGAAAGCATGCCATCCCCTCCCATCTAGAGTGGAGCCCACGGGTATGTTAACAAATTCTAGGCCTCAAATGTCCCTCCTCCTGCATCCCGTGGGCTGCCTGAGAGGGGAAGAGCCATGGCCATCTCTTCAGGGGACTCACCCCCCAGGGCCTGCGAGCTGGGTGGGAGGAGACGCCTGGAAGAGGCTTTGTAGACTGCTTCATTTCAGCTCCAAGGGCTCTGCAATACCTCCTGGATGGCAGTGGGGTGGGGAGTCTAAAATGAAAGTCTGCCTTCCTCTTTAAAGGAACTGGTTTTTCTGAGATTTTCCCTGTTAGTTGGTGAAAATGACTATTAGTGCTTAGCAAGTTACAAGCAGTCAGAACATGGGGAGGATATGGCCCATTCTAAAAACACTGACAGTAGGTGTAGGACTAAAGATGCACCCCCCCCACACAGATGCACACACACACACACGTGCACACACACACGTGCATACACATGCCCACACAGATGCACACACACAACATATCACACACAGACGCACACAGACACACAGATGCACACACACAAGATGTGCAGACACACATACATGCACACACACACATGCATACACATGCCCACAAAAACACATATAGATGCACACACACAACATATGCACACACAGATGCACACACACAAGACATGCAGACATACACACATGCACACACAGAGACACACAGACACACATGCACACACAGACACAGACACACGTGCATACACATGTTCACACAGATGCACACACATAGATGCACATACGCAACACATACAGACACACACACGCACATATAGAGACACACAGACACACATGCACTCACAGAGACACAGACATGTGCAAACACATGCCCACAGAGTATACACACATGACACACAGATGCACACACACATGAATACATTTGCACACAGACCCAGATGTGCACACACAACACATGCAGACACATGCACACACAGATGCACACACATGAACACATGCACAGAGACACACCGATGCACACACACACAAGCCGTGCAGACACACAGGCCCATAGGTACACACACAGACACATGCACACAAGAGACCTAGTCCCTTGAAATATGCTGTG